TGTTTGCGTAAGCTTGACTGTCCTGAGTGTGTATATGTCTTATGTATATATACATTTTAAATAATATAAACAGAAGCAGCGTCCACAAATTAAACTGGCAACAATAACACATATACGTAATTCACACAAGAACATAAGAATGCAGGAACAGCAGGGGATGGCGGGGCGCCCCGGGTGACACCATTTAGGGGGTGACACTATAGAGCCTCTAAAGGTGACACTAATGACCAAAATAGTGCTGCAGCAACATAAGAGAAGAATCCTTCGTTTCTACATAGCCTATTATATATTAACAAAGTACAAATAAGCCTATATAGGGAAAATCATTGATTTTGATGATGTGATAGATGATTTTGCATAACTGAAGGCAAGGAAATGTAAGATCAGATTCACTGATATGTTACCCCTACTCAAGGTCAAATCGGAACTAGTGTTTCTCTGGTATTGCAATGTTTTTCTTTATTTTTCAAAATTTTTTTTTTTTTGACATTGTTGAAGATAATTAAATGTAGGATCTGTTGCCTGTACTCAAAGTGGTATTTGAGTTTATGTTTCCTCAGTATTACTACGATTATTTATTTTATCATTAATAAAGTTGAGAAGATAAGATTTCGTTCGGATTTTTAACCCCGGAGGGTTAGCCACCCAGTATAACCCAAGAAAGTCAGTGCGTCATCGAGGACTGTCTAACTTATTTCCATTGTGGTCCTCAATCTTGTCCCCCAGGATGCGACCCACACCAGTCGACTAACACCCAGGTACCTATTTGCTGCTAGGTGAACAGGACAACAGGTGTAAGGAAACGTGTCGAAATGTTTCCACCCGCCGGGAATCGAACCCGGGCCCTCCGAATTTGAAGCGGAAGCTTTAGCCACCAGGCTTATGGCCCTTAAACGTTCTCATTGCTAGACATTTGTCACTGGTCATGCAGTAGTGACGTAACTGGAGTTTACCCCCCCCACCCCCCGCCCTTGAATTTCATGGGGGTGACACCAAAGATGCTGCCCAGGGTGACACCAAAGATTCCGCCCCGGGTGATACCAACTCTAGCGACGCCTCTGGCCGACCACTACAGCAGGCCTACTGGCCTATGCCAGACAAACTCACACTCGCCCACACCCACTCACATAACTGTCTAACGTATATTTTAAGTTGCCCAAACTTCTCTCCCCAGTGACTATCTGTGAAAGCGAAATTTATGAACAGTTATGAAGAACTTTATGAGCGAACGTGTGAGGGGGAAACAACGAGAGTGAGGGAAGGAGATGAGCCAGCGAGACTTGACTTGGTTTTCACACAAAATGAAAATGAGAGCAGAAATTAATTATGGGGAACCAATAGGAGCCAGCGATCATATGGTAATGAGCATTGAGTACCTGTTGGAGAGGAGAATGGAGAACGAGAGTGAAGAAGAAAGTAACAGAAAATGAGACTACAGAAGAGGGGACAATGATGGCATGAGAATTTTTCTGAGAAGCGGAATGGGAAAGGGAAATGGAAGACAGACCTGTATGAGATATGATGAACGTAATTGAGAAGAAACCCCAAGAGGCAAAGGTGAAATACCATGCAAGAAAAAAAGCATGATAAAAGAAAGTCCATGGTTTAACAAAGAATGAAGATAGGACAAAGGGAGAAGCAAGAGAACTTGGGAAAAATATAGAGCAAAGCAAAATGCAGAAAACCCGAGAGGTAAGCAGAACTAGAAACAAATATGTAAGAATAGGAAGGGAAGGGAGCTCGTGAAAGACGAAAACAAAACCAGTTACTCCATAGCCACATAAAAAAGGAGACTGTTAAGGATCATGTGAAAAGGTTGAGGAAAGTGTCTACTCACCCATTTGTGGTTGCAAGTGTGTGTGTGTGTGTGTGTGTGTCCTTGATATGTTCAGATGGTTTTCTATCATATAACCAGACAAGATTGAGAGTATCTTACGATAGACGTCAGATTACATGCTACACATTGCCCTAGAATGTACAGTCTGTTGATAATTCATAGATAAATCACTTGATCGTATTGTTTGTGGCTGTGATTAATGTACATAATAACACACGTATAATAACTAACGTAAGCATCAGTGTATACTCACATCTCTGGCCAGCATCACACCCGTCCGCCTTGCCACGTTTCCACTCCCCATGTGCTAACATGAATTAAACATTTAACCGAAATTAACTAGAAAAATATAGTAAGCTGAACATATGGTATGCACTTCTCTTGTTTTACAGTATATACACATGTTGCCTCTAGCAGCAGGGATGTACAGTAACAGCACGCGTAGATGTATCTGGGAGAGGGTCTAGGCAGAGTGTAGGGTTAACAACTGCATCACGGATTTCTCATGAATCGAATTTATAGGAAGTTCCGAGAGTGAGATGTACACTACACCGTCATAACGCTATGTTGGGTCCCTCTGTGTCACAAGCGTGTATGGTGACGTCCTGCCCTCCATTACACTTTCCAGCACTGTGTTCCCTCACACACCGCCATCCCTCCACAACCTGAGCCAAGACGGCAGGGAGCATGGTCAGGGGTGAGCCACTATTGACCAGGAAGCGTCTCCCCTCCTCCTCCTGGGTCTCCCCAGGTGGAACAACTAGCGGGGGTCATGCGAGGACTGGAGCCTCCCTCCATGATCAGTGTCTCGGAAGAAAGACAATATTACCTCACACAACGCTCATCAAGCTCTGGAACGGTATAAACCTTCTTATGTTCTAAGGTATCTTTCTTGACCTTAAAGTACCAAAATCTGTAGAATAAGTAGTGTTATAATATAAGCAGTATATTATTATTATTATAATAAATATGTGTGGGGCAGTTTTACAGGCGTGATCATAAACGAAAACTTAAGAAAACAAAAGGCGGTAACTAGAGGTGTACATACAGTTAAACAAATACTGGTCGATATCCTTGGCTTCCAGTGCCAACTCTCAGATTTACTCATTTGGCCTTTACTTTCGGACTTCTAATAATCGCTGAGCCAAGTATGACCGACCTAACCAAATGAAAGAATGTTAGGGAAATCACAGCGGCAATAAGATCATTTAAACTGGCGCCAGAAGGGGCGTCCCATGGTTGCTATGACGACACGTTGCTCGACACATCTGTTTTTGAGTTCATTGTTACTATCAGAGAAGTGCAAATTAAAAGTTACTAAAAGTTATATATTATCCACCTGGGGCGGCGGGTGTGCAAAACGAAACACGCTATTTAAAACAAGGATCACATTAATGACTGAAAAAGAAAACATGGGATATATTTACAGCTTAGATATAATAAATTTACGTTGTACATTTCACTGTTCATTAAAAATCATTACTTGACACGTAGAGGTCCCTAATTACGCAATATGGATTACAGAACACTAAACCTAAGTACAAAACTGCTTAAATATAGACTACTAAGATTTTGCTCGGAAGGGCAAGTTCGTTGGATGGTGCCACTTATATTGTGAGTGACCAACCTGCATACTGTAAGCACTGCTTAGCAGGAGTATAACATAGCAACTGCAACCAGATGAAGGAAGACAAATAAACACAATTGCATTATAATGTGATTTTTTATTGACAACGTTTCTCCCACACATTGGGCTTTATCAAGTCACAAACAGCTCTACATGGGGAGAGATGATGTGTGTGTGACAGTCATTTGAGTGAGAGTGAGGTATTTTGAAGCTGACTGCATTGGTAGACTAATGATGAATTGGACGAATATATAACTGAGAAAAGGTTGGATTCAAGAAAAACCTACTTATCTTGTGCCAGTATGTTTATGAAGCAACTTGCAACGTTAAACAGACTGACTGATGTTGTAGTGGCCAGGCTTAGGCTTGGTTACAAGTACTTCTGGCAGTTTGGGAGACACACAGATGATGATCAGACTAAATGTAAATTATATGATCACTGATATGGTCACTGTCTTGAACACTAGGTGCTCAATTGTCCACTTATTGAGGAATACAGATATAGTATAATAACCTATGTGACATGTCAAGATATCTTATTAATGAAAATAAGATACGAAATATACTAAGCAAATTTCCTAAATTTGCTTGTAACAGATAAGTGAACTGTAGATATGTAGATATAAACCCATATGTATACCTGTTAACCCTTTTGGGGACTAGTTCCTAGACCTTTTGTGTATCCATATGCTCTTGCGCTACCGTCCACAGGATGGATATGGGGCGCACAATAAACTAGCCACTTCGGTGGCAAAATCTAATCTAAAAAATCTAGGCTTGCTGCATTGTTCTTCCAAACTATGACCTATTGTTATGTGGGATAGGGTCTAATTAGTTAGTTGTGCCACCTAAGCTACTGGTTCATTGTGCACTAGCTGATGCTCATTTTGTGAATGGTATCGCAAAAAAATAAAAATTACACAGGTCATAATGGGTCTTTGTCAGACCCCAATAACCAATTGTTGCATCACTAGAAAGACATATTAGTTGAAGTAAAGATGGAACAAGAACAGGCACAGTTTAAATGAAACACAGTTTCAGGATTTGTTCGCTGTATGAGCCTTGTAGGTTTAGCGCTTCTTTTTTATTATAATAATAATTCAGGGTTTGTTTGACACAATAGATTACTGTAAGACTCACATTAAGGTAAGGAGAAGCTTTTTAACCGTAGCTTTGCAGTGGTTGGCAGACAAGGACCCCAATGGAAATAAGTCACTCTGTCTGACTTTTTTGGGTTATCCTAGGTTCTCTACACATATGCTGCTATGTATGATAATTCTATGTAACTGTATTTGTGTATACCTGAATAAACTTACTTACTTACTTACTTAAGGAACCTTTGGAGTCTTCAGGAAAAGAGTTCCAGATTTTTTGTTCCCTTTTAATGCACATTGTGTTTTTACAAAGGCTGAACCGTACACGGGGAATATCATAGAAATTTTTGTGTCTAGTATTATGCCTATGAATTTTGCTGCAGCTATCAGGAAAGAGTTTCAGTGCAGCATTTGTTTCCTATATAATTCCCTCCCGGATTTGGGTAACATATGTTTCTGGAGGGAGTCCCGGGAGGCAGTGCTCAGTAAGATGTAAACTTCGGTGGTCCTTAAGAACCCCAACAACAACGACTAAAGTCCACAACCAACAAGAAGCATAAATATGCCTGCTATACAGTTTACTGAAGTGATAACGTTCTCCAGTGAAGATCCGGTAGGTAGAGAACAAGACCAGTAAGAGAGTGTGAGGCAACACATAAGAAGAAGAATCTATTTCCACAAGTACGTAATACAGCTGATACAAATCTAGCAGACATCATTGGCACACTATATGGAAAGCCCCTGGTTTTGAAAAGTATTTCGGGCATCTTAGGTGAATCTTGTCCCCCAGGATTCGACCCATAGCCGTCAACCAAGACACAGGTACCTACTAACTGTTAGGTGAACAGAGACATCAGGTACAAGGAAACATGCCCAAAGTTCCTCCCATGCCAGAATCAATCCTGGCTTCTCACTGAGCCAAGGACGCTACCAATGACTCCACACACCTACACATCCTCGGCAAATTTCTGTTTTGGGGCCAGTGAAGGGCTTTTGATCTAGAGAATTGAAACTACCCTCCCTTTTCTTGGATCAAATCTGATTGCCTCCCATTCCTCTGGCACTATTTGACTCCATTGGGTTTAGTGCTCCCCCATAAATGTAAGGAGAGATAGCTTAATATAAAATTTATTTTCTAGATGCTCCTTTTAAGAGAGGTACATTGATGGAACAAATTCCCAGACGGTGATAATATAGGCCAAAACTACTGAGAACTTTGAAAACATACATGATAAATTAAAAAAGATGGAACACCAAAACTATAGCTCTTCTTTTGTATAGTTAATTAGAAAAGTGGAATCAACTTTTCACTCACACCAACATCAGCTCTCTCACAGCTATCAGTAATTTTGCTGGGGTGGTATGCTCACTTTATGTATCTATGTTATATACATATATGTTTTAACTATTATTTTATTTATTTAATAACACACTGGCTGATTCTCACCAAGGCAGGGTGGCCCGAAAAAGAAAAACTTTCACCATCATTCACTCCATCACTGTCTTGCCAGAAGGGTGCTTTACACTACAGTTTTTAAACTGCAACATTAACACCCCTCCTTCAGAGTGCAGGCACTGTACTTCCCATCTCCAGGACTCAAGTCCGGCCTGCCGGTTTCCCTGAACCCCTTCATAAATGTTACTTTGCTCACACTCCAACAGCACGTCAAGTATTAAAAAAAAAACATTTGTCTCCATTCACTCCTATCAAAACACCGCTCGCAACATGCCCGCATGGAAGTCCAAGCCCCTCGCACACAAAACCCTCCTTTACCCCCTCCCTCCAACCTTTCCTAGGCCGACCCCTACCCTGCCTTCCTTCCACTACAGACTGATACACTCTTGAAGTCATTCTGGTTTGCTCCATTCTCTCTACATGTCCAAACCACCTCAACAACCCTTCCTCAGCCCTCTGGACAACAGTTTTGGCAATCCCGCACCTCCTCCTAACTTCCAAACTACGAATTCTCTGCATTATATTCACACCACACATTGCCCTCAGACATGACATCTCCACTGCCTCCAGCCTTCTCCTCGCTGCAACATTCATCACCCATGCTTCACACCCATACAGGAGTGTTGGTAAAACTATACTCTCATACATTCCCCTCTTTGCTTCCAAGGACAAAGTTCTTTGTCTCCACAGACTCCTAAGTGCACCACTCACCCTTTTCCCCTCATCAATTCTATGATTCACCTCATCTTTCATAGACCCATCCGCTGACACGTCCACTCCCAAATATCTGAATACATTCACCTCCTCCATACTCTCTCCCTCCAATCTGATATCCAATCTTTCATCACCTAATCTTTTTGTTATCCTCATAAGCTTACTCTTTCCTGTATTCACTTTCAATTTTCTTCTTTTACATACCCTACCAAATTCATCCACCAACCTCTGCAACTTCTCTTCAGAATCTCCCAAGAGCACAATGTCATCAGCAAAGAGCAACTGTGACAACTCCCACTTTATGTGTGATTCTTTATCTTTTAACTCCACACCTCTTGCCAAAACCCTCGCATTTACTTCTGTTACAACCCCATCTATAAATATATTGAACAATAACGGTGACATCACAGATCCTTGTCTAAGGCCTACTTTTACTGGGAAATAATCTCCCTCTTTCCTACATACTCTAACTTGAGCCTCACTATCCTCGTAAAAACTCTTCACTGCTTTCAGTAACATACCTCCTCTACCATACATCTGCAACATCTGCCACATTGCCCCCCTATCCACCCTGTCATATGCCTTTTCCAAATCCATAAATGCCACAAAAACCTTTTTAGCCTTTATACTATTATAATTATATAATTATACTTTTCTTGTGAAAATGCATTACCTAATTCATGTCAGCATAAATAACTCATGAGTGTTACCATATATAAAAGTGTAGCTGCTTATAAAAGTGTAGCTGCATAATAAAGATATTAAACTGACTGTTCCTAGCTTTCTAACTTTTTATTCAGAATCATCCAGCGGAAAATCTATTGCGCCCTGATACATTTCGCAAATGGAAATGTGCATCTGGAACAACAGAGAAGCAATCATCTGTTACACTAAAGCTTGAGAAAATGAGTCCTGTCCATTCTATAGACATTGGCAATGAAGGTTCAGCATTTGTGGAGGTATTGGCAGGGAGAGAAGGAGCTGAAGCTTTTCAGGTTAGTATCATATAGTTTGCATAATCTTGGACTGTATTAGCAGTTTTATGAGGGCATGAAATAAAGCAGTTTTGCCTTGTAGCCACTCTTAGAAGAGGTCTCAAGATTTAGGGTACTGTAGTTTGACACCAATTTCATAAATATATTGCTTCATCAAAATATTTAAGCTTGCAGATATGCAAAGCATGCAAAAACATGGATAAAAACACTGAATGTTTTACCTTCTTGGAATTCTCTGAATAATAATAATAGACATATGAGCATATATTTGTTGACTTTATCTTTCTTTCTTTCTTTCAACACACCAGCCGTATCCCACCGAGGCGGGGTGGCCAAAAGGAAAAACGAAAGTTTCTCCTTTTACATTTAGTAATATATACAGGAGAAGAGGTTACTAGCCCCTTGCTCCTGGTTGTTGACTTTATGTATACACAAAATTAAACCCACTCCTGTACAGTGGACCCCCGCATACCGTTGGCATCACATAACGTTAAATCCGCATACCGATACATTTTATCGCTAAGATTTTGCCTCGCATACCGCTAAAAAACCCGCTCAATGCTATTCGTCCGAGACGCATCTATGTGAGGCCTGAGCCAGCCTCACATGTTCCGCCGGTGGCATTGTTTACAAGCCAGCCTCCGCGGTAACATCCAAGCATACAATTGGAACATTTCGTATTATTACAGCGTTTTTGGTGATTTTATCTGCAAAATAAGTGACCATGGGCCCCAAGAAAGCTTCTAGTGCCAACCCTGTGGTAAAAAGGGGGAGAAATATTATCGAAATACTGTGGTACCATGGTCAACTGCTGATGCTGCTGCTGCTGTAGCACTGTCAGCTGCTACTGCTGCTGTAGCACCATCAGCTGCTGCTGCTGCTGTACCACCATCAGCTGCTGCTGCTGCTGTAGTACCGTCTGCTGCTGCTGAAGCACCGTCTGCTACTGCTGTAGCACTGTCACTGCTGCTGTAGCACTGTCAGCTGCTGTTGCTGCTGCTGTAGCACTGTCAGCTGCTGCTGCTGCTGCTGTAGCACTGTCAGCTGCTGCTGCTGCTGTAACACTGTCAGCTGCTGCTGCTGCTGTAGCACCGTCAGCTGCTGCTGCTGCTGTACCACCATCAGCTGCTGCTGCTGCTGCTGCTGATGCAACTCACACCAGTCGACTAACACTCAGGTGAACAGGGAAAAATGCCTGGAACTAGTGCTCATATTGGTGTATTTAAAGCCAGCAAAGGTTGGTTTGAGAGATTTAAGAATCGTAGTGGCATACACAGTGTGATAAGGCCTGTTCTGGAAGAAAATGCCAAACAGGACCTACAGTACTCAGGAGGAAAAGGCACTCCCAGGACACAGTGTCTCATCAGTCATTGCTGCATCTTCAATAAAGGTAAGTGTCATTTATTCTTCATTTAGTAGAGTAGTACATGCACAATATATATTGTGCATGTACTACTCTACTATTGTGCATGTATCCTTCTCTTTGTGTGTAGGAAAATGTATATTTCATGTGGTAAAATTTTTTTTTTCATACTTTTGGGTGTCTTGCACGGATTAATTTGATTTCCATTATTTCTTATGGGGAAAATTCATTCGCATAACGATAATTTCGCATAACAATGAGCTTTCAGGAACGGATTAATATTGTTATGCAGGGGTCCACTGTATTGGTGTTTATAAGCTTCTAGAAAAGGCAAGAACCCAGGCTGCTCAGTGTTTCCCATGTGAATTTAAATTGATGGAATACATTGATTTAACCTGGGTAGAAAGATGTGAAGGTATTAAAAAATCACTCAGAGGCACAACACATTATCAACATAACAAAACCACTTGGCATTGAGTGGCTGATGTCAGTAAGGATGTTATATACTATTTTATATTCCAGGTACTTCTTGTTGCCTCATCTTTCATGACTCCCATCGAGTCAAGAAATGGCACTGACTTAAACCGTGTCCGAATGTTTGGTCCCGACAAGCTGAATAAAAATGTGGCTGGACAAAAGTGGGATCGTTTAAAAGTCATATGCACACAGCCATTCAACAAACAGATGCAGTATGGTTTATCCTTCATCAAAGTTAGAAGCCCAAATTCTGTAAGTATAAATACTGTATTATATATTCAGTATTGTATACCTCTTGTAATAGCTATGTAGGCCTCTGGACTGGTAGCAACAGTCTGGTTGATAAGGCAATCATCAAGGAAGTTTGCCCTAACACTGAGCTATGAGAGTATTGGTCACCGGTATGTTAAATGTATGTACACTGCATACACTTATGCTACACAATATTTGCACAGCATAATAATGCAAAGCAAATGTTAATGAAAATATCACTTTATTTTATAAGTGAGAAGTTTTGTATTATTTTTTTAAATTAAATATAGTACAGTACATATTATATAGTTCATGTATTTTATCTGCAGCATAATGTTATACCTTATTTGAGGTGATACACCTGTCCAGGCCCTTTGGAGCAAGAAATGGCAGATGTTCAGTCTTTTGATTAATAATAATGAAACACACATGCTGCCTCTCTATACTCGTCTTAGTATTTTGTAATTTTCATTGAGCATCAGGATTCTGTATAATGTGAATGACCCTCAGAGCTTTTCGTTAAACATCTCATGTGAAGGCAGTAAACAAATGGTTCAGTTGTACATAAGTTCACTCACTTTGTGAGAATTTTGCTACCTTTACCATGGGTCTACCTTTGATGGGTTTTGAGACTTTTCCTACTCACGTAGCCTGGCCCTGAGCTGGGCTTCTCCAGTGCTTGCCTGGTCAACCAGGCTGTTGCTGCTAACAGCTCATTGGCCCACATATCCATCACAGCCTAGTTGATCCATCACTTGGCAGAGGTACTCTTCAAATTTCCTCTTGCAGGTGTGTGTACTAGTTCCAGCAGTGTTTCTGATATCTTCTGGTAAGACACTGAATAGTCTATGTCCACAGATGTTGCTAGATTGCTGAAATTGTGACTTGTCTTAAATCTCTGAATACTTCTGAACTAATGTGCTCATAACAAAATGAAACTAGTTCTGAGTCCTGGCAAAGGCAAGTTATGAGTACGTTCTTGCACATCCATTACGCCTCTTCATCTAGCAGGAAATACTGTGTAAGAGACACATTATTTATAATTTATATCTTTTTAAATCAAGACTTCAATAATAATTGCAGCTTGACAGAAAAGAGATAATTTAATAAGCATGGCAAGTACAGTAAAATAGTACTCTAGTAACAATAACATGATGCTACTTAAATAGTTGACAGGATTTTCTTAATTAAAAGTAAGAGATTACAGTAGGGCCCCGCTTTATGGCATTCCGCTAATACAGACATTGCAAATTATGACCAAAACTCGCTATATGGCTCCACCCACCTGACTTTCTAATATGGTTGCCACACCTCACCCGATTTGTTTACATTCTCCATGAGCTCCATTAGCACCTCATCTCTCCATTGTGTTTTAAAGTTATTTCGTGTTTTATATATACTCTAATAATTATACTTATGTGTACCTGTACCTAAATAAACTTACACAGTGTGCAGGTACACACTGAAATCAATAAATGTGTCTTACTAGTCTTGACACCATATTAATAATGATAATAATAGTACGTAATAATAATCACTGAGGTGCACTAAATGTCATATGTTACGTTAATATAAACATTTTCATTAACTCATCTATGATATTTTTTTCAAAATTATATAATAAACATGCTACATAACATATAAACATGATAAATTCACCCCACAGTAGAATAAATTAACGTAAATGTGAGATGTTAGGTGTAGATGAACGTGTATGAACCAAAACCAGATGCCTTCATCCACTTGTTTACATTCTCCGCATCTCTCTCCTCTCATTTACTCGTTCTCTCTCTCTCTCTCTTGTTTATTCGTTTTACCTCATTTACTCACCTCTCACCCTATTAAGACTACAAATATTTTAAAGTAATGAGTGTACTTTGTATGCATTTTATCGTTCTGGGGCACTTTAAATGTCGTAGTATATTACTTCTGGGTGAGGTGGCCTGGATGGCTACCATACCTCCTACACATGACTTCCTACAAATACTGTAAATACTACTCATTTTTCACCCTACCTACATTAAGACTACAGATATTTTAAGGTAAGTAATGAGTGTACTGTGTGTGTATTTTACTTTTTATTGTTTTTAATACCAAGTTCTTTGGCTAACTTGATATATGTTAGTGTAAACTCATTATCTGGCATTTATATGCATTTATAAGTGGAAAAAATGGCATTCTGCTTTTCGGCGATGTCTGCTTTCCCGTGGTAGCCTGGAACCTAACCTGCCGTATAAATGGGGCCCTACTGTATCACTCTTTTTTTTGACATCTTACTGTTTTGTATACAATTTCAGGACTCTTCACCACTGCCTGCTAAGATTACCAAGCTTGGAAGTTTCACTCTTAAAGAAGAGGATGCTGACCCCATTTCAGTTGGCTCTCTGTTTGCTCGAAGGAAAGATAAAGAACCTTCATCCCCCTTATCAGGTTGGTTCCCTAACAGTAGTAAGTTTTGATACCAGATAACCATAACTAGGGTCACTTGGGGTGTGTGAGAGAAGAATAGCAATTGGTGTAATGATGACAGAAAAAGTTATCATATTGAGAGGTTTTTACAAAGCAGAGCTGATATTACGAGAGTGGAGTACTTGGAGAGTAAAATAGGCTAAAAGAGTATGTGAAGGAATGTAAAAAGAGAGCAAATGAGAGAGTGGGTGAGGTTTTTGAACAAATTTTTCTAAGAATAAGAAAAAGCTTTGGAGTAAGATTAATAAGTTGAGAAAGCCTAGGGAATGAATGGATTAAACAGTTAAAAACAGAAGAGGGGAGTTATTAGATGGGGAGATGGAGGTATTGGGAAGATGGAGGAAATATTAAGGAAAAGAGGGAGGCAGTGATTTCATGCATTGGCAAGGAAGGTATAGCATCTTTTAGGAGTGAGGAAGAGCCAGATGTGAGTGTAAGAGAAGGTGCACGATTCATTAAGTAAAATGAAAAGGGAATAAAGCAGCTGGGATTGATGGGATCAAGAAAGAAATGTTAACTGCTGGTGGGGATATGCTGTAGTTTTAGAGTGGATGGTTTTTTTGTTCAATAAATGTTTGAAAGGGGGAAAGGTACCTAGGTATTGGCAGAGGGCATACATAGAGGAATAAACCTGTTAAGTATATCAGGTAAAGTGTATGATAAAGTTATTGTTGAAAGAATAAGAGCAAGATGGAGATCAGAATCACAGATGGACAAGAAGGGCTTAAGAAGGGTAGGGGATGTGTAGACCAAGTGTTTCTTCTTTTTCTGGGTCACCCTACCTCAGTGGGATATGGCCAGAGTGTTAAAAAAAATTATTAGCTTACTGTTCTCTAGACATTAATTAGTTGTTTATGTAATATATAATAAACAGTACATACTATGCCTTTCTTTATGCAAGTGTCAAGAGATGTTAAAATTTTTTGAGCTGAATGTGATTTATACTATTAATTCTTTCTGTCTCCAACATATTACATAACAGGTAAATCTTACAAACTTCTACTTACATTTAATATTTGCTTTACAATTCATTTCTTAATAAGTTTCTTAATACTGAAATATTTCCTGGCTTTAAGTGAAACAAAGCTGAAGGGGGTGGGAGAGTTTCAGTGGAGAGGAATAAATGGGATTAGGTCAGGGGTTTCAAATAGAGTTAGAGCTAAAGAAGGAGTAGCAATAATGTTGAAGGATAAGCTATGGCAGGAAAAGAGGGACTATAAATGTATTAATTCAAGGATTATGTGGAGTAAAATAAAGATTGGATGTGAAAAGTGGGTTATAATAAGCGTGTATGCACCTGGAGAATGGATCACAGTAGAATGACATGGAAAGCATATAAATCTATAGGGGAAGGAAGGCGGGGTAGGGGTCGTCCTCGAAAGGGTTGGAGAAGGGGGTAAAGGAGGTTTTGTGGGTAAGGGCTTGGATTTCCAGCAAGGTCGTGACGTTAAAGATAATGCTTGAATGGACGAATGGTACTTGGGACCTGACGATCTGTTGGATGTGAGACTAATTTTTTGTGAATGGGAATTCAGGAAACCTTAATTTCTATATTGGAATTGTCCTTGAAATGGAAGTTACAATGCTGCACTTAAAGAGGTTTGGGTATTGGCATTTGGAGGGATATGTGTGTGTCTTTGATTGTGTATGCTGAAGATTAATGTTGAGCATCCCTGCAAAAACAGTATAGTGCGAGGTGAGAAGAAGTGTTGAATGTGAAGAAAGTATTTTCTTTTGGGAATTTTCTGTCTTTATATGGTACTCATGCCATCGTGGGAGAACGGCCGACTTTGTGAAAAAGAAAAAAAAAAAAAAAAAAAAAGCACCTGGAGAAGAGAGAAGGTAGAGGAGAGAGAGAGATTTTGGGTGTTGAGTGAATGCGTGGGGAGTTTTGAATCAAGTGTAGAGTAATGGTGGTTGGGGATTTCAATGCTAAAGTGGGTAAAAATGTTATGGAGGGAGTAGTAGGTAAATTTGGGGTGCCAGGGGTAAATGTAAATGGGGAGCCTTTAATTGAGCTATGTGTAGAAAGAAATTTGGTAATAAGTAATACATATTTTATGAAAAAGAGGATAAATAAATATACAAGGTATGATGTAGCACGTAATGAAAGTAGTTTATTAGATTATGTATTGGTGGATAAAAGGTTGATGGGTAGGCTCCAGGATGTACATGTTTATAGAGAGGCAACTGATATATCGGATCATTATTTAGTTGTAGCTACAGTTAGAGTAAGAGGTAGATGGGAAAAGAGGAAGGTGGCAACAGCAAGTAAGAGGGAGGTGAAAGTGTATAAACTAAGGGAGGAGGAAGTTCGGGTGAGATATAAGCGACTATTGGCAGAAAGGTGGGCTAGTGCAAAGATGAGTAGTGGGGGGTTGAAGAGGGTTGGAATAGTTTTAAAAATGCAGTATTAGAATGTGGGGCAGAAGTTTGTGGTTATAGGAGGGTGGGGGCAGGAGGAAAGAGGAGTGATTGGTGGAATGATGAAGTAAAGGGTGTGATAAAAGAGAAAAAGGTAGCTTATGAGAGGTTTTTACAAAGCAGAAGTGTTATAAGAAGAGCAGAGTATATGGAGAGTAAAAGAAAGGTAAAGAGAGTGGTGAGAGAGTGCAAAAGGAGAGCAATGATAGAGTGGGAGAGGCACTGTCAAGAAATTTTAATGAAAATAAGAAAAAATTTTGGAGTGAGTTAAACAAGTTAAGAAAGCCTAGGGAAAATATGGATTTGTCAGTTAAAAACAGAGTAGGGGGGTTAGTAGATGGGGAGATGGAGGTATTGGGTAGATGGCGAGAATATTTTGAGGAACTTTTAAATGTTAAGGAAGAAACAGAGGCAGTAATTTCATGCACTGGTCAGGGAGGTATACCATCTTTTAGGAGTGAAGAAGAGCAGAATGTAAGTGTGGGGGAGGTACGTGAGGCATTATGTAAAATGAAAGGGGGTAAAGCAGCTGGAACTGATGGGATCATGACAGAAATGTTAAAAGCAGGGGGGGATATAGTGTTGGAGTGTTGGTACTTTTGTTTAATAAATGTATGAAAGAGAGGAAGGTACCTAGGGATTGGCGGAGAGCATGTATAGTCCCTTTATATAAAGGGAAAGGGGACAAAAGAGACTGTAAAAATTATAGAGGAATAAGCTTACTGAGTATACCAGGAAAAGTGTACGGTAGGGTTATAATTGAAAGAATTAGAGGTAAGACAGAATGTAGGATTGCGGATGAGCAAGGAGGTTTCAGAGTGGGTAGGGATGTGTAGATCAGGTGTTTACATTGAAGCATATATGTGAACAGTATTTAGATAAAGATAGGGAAGTTTTTATTGCATTTATGGATTTAGAAAAGGCATATGATAGAGTGGATAGAGGAGCAATGTGGCAGATGTTGCAAGTATATGGAATAGGTGGTAAGTTATTAAATGCTGTAAAGAGTTTTTTATGAGGATAGTGAGGCTCAGGTTAGGGTGTGTAGAAGAGAGGGAGACTACTTCCCGGTAAAAGTAGGTCTTAGACAGGATGTGTAATGTCACCATGGTTGTTTAATATATTTATAGATGGGGTTGTAAAGGAAGTAAATGCTAGGGTGTTGGGAGAGGGGTGGGATTAAATTTTGGGGAATCAAATTCAAAATGGGAATTGAACACGTTACTTTTTGCTGATGATACTGTGCTTATGGGAGATTCTAAAGAAAAATTGCAAAGGTTAGTGGATGAGTTTGGGAATGTGTGTAAAGGTAGAAAGTTGAAAGTGAACATAGAAAAGAGTAAGGTGATGAGGGTGTCAAATGATTTAGATAAAGAAAAATTGGATATCAAATTGGGGAGGAGGAGTATGGAAGAAGTGAATGTTTTCAGATACTTGGGAGTTGACGTGTCGGCGGATGGATTTATGAAGGATGAGGTTAATCATAGAATTGATGAGGGAAAAAAGGTGAGTGGTGCGTTGAGGTATATGTGGAGTCAAAAAACGTTATCTATGGAGGCAAAGAAGGGAATGTATGAAAGTATAGTAGTACCAAATTCTTATATGGGTGTGAAGCTTGGGTGGTAAATGCAGCAGCGAGGAGACGGTTGGAGGCAGTGGAGATGTCCTGTTTAAGGGCAATGTGTGGTGTAAATATTATGCAGAAAATTCGGAGTGTGGAAATTAGGAGAAGGTGTGGAGTTAATAAAAGTATTAGTCAGAGGGCAGAAGAGGGGTTGTTGAGGTGGTTTGGTCATTTAGAGAGAATGGATCAAAGTAGAATGACATGGAAAGCATATAAATCTATAGGGGAAGGAAGGCGGGGTAGGGGTTGTCCTCAAAAGGGTTGGAGAGAGGGGGTAAAGGAGGTTTTGTGGGCAAGGGGCTTGGACTTCCAGCAAGCGTGCGTGAGCGTGTTAGATAGGAGTGAATGGAGACGAATGGTACTTGGGACCTGACAATCTGTTGGAGTGTGAGCAGGGTAATATTTAGTGAAGGGATTCAGGGAAACCGGTTATTTTCATATAGTCGGACTTGAGTCCTGGAAATGGGAAGTACAATGCCTGCACTTTAAAGGAGGGGTTTGGGATATTGGCAGTTTGGAGGGATATGTTGTGTATCTTTATATGTGTATGCTTCTAGACTGTTGTATTCTGAGCACCTCTGCAAAAACAGTGATAATGTGCGAGTGTGGTGAAAGTGTTGAATGATGATGAAAGTATTTTCTTTTTGGGGATTTTCTTTCTTTTTTGGGTCACCCTGCCTCGGTGGGAGACGGCCGACTTGTTGAAAAAAAAAAAAAAAAAAATCGCTTTTTTACTTAGGAGGCCTACTCTGAGTCCAAACCACAGGGGTGATGATCCTTGGTACCATTAACAGACATTACAAATATAGGAACCTCTCTTGTGTGTTACAGGTGCAGCAGCCATTCGAGCAGCATCAGCAGAAGCTGTAGCCTCTGTATCATCTCCAGGAACACACAAGAGGAAATCCCAGGATCCTTCACCTGATGTGGGATTCTATCAACTCAAAAAGAAAATAATTTCAGGTAAGTGAAAAGTAGGGGTACCACAAGCACAATTAAAGAATGCTCTGTTAATGCCAGTGATCCCAGACTCCTCAGCTTTCTACCAGAAAGAGATAAGGAATTATTGCCAAAACAAGGGTAGAAGAACCCTCATAACAGGTCATTGATGTGTTTTAAGTAGATATAATTGATGAGTTGAGGCTAAACCTTCACAGAAAATATTGTAACCAGTTTGGAAATGCTAAAAACTGTTAGGCTCAGAATGGTTAGATTATACTACATGAATTAATACATTATTAATTTTTAACACATTGGCCATCTGCCACTGAGGTAGGGTTGACTCAGAGCACAATAACCATCACTCATTCAATCTCTGTCATGCCAGAAGCATACTGACATCACAGTTCAGGTGACCTTCCAAATTATACATCCTCATTCCCTCTTTTGTAGTGCAGGCATTGCACTTACCACCTCCAAGACTCAAGTCGGGCTAATCACTTTTCCTGAATCCTTTCATAAGTGGTACCTTATGAAAAACCACTTGCCTCCACTCGTTTTGATCTGGCATGCTCACACAATCCTGTTGGATGACACAGCCTTAGCACTCAAAACCTCTTTTAACCCCTCCCTCCAACCTCTTCTGGGACAATCCACTACTATTCCTCACCACCCCAGATTTAGGAAAATCTTTTCATTAATTGCAAGGGCCTAGATTATGTCAGATTATTGGTGAAATAAACAGCACATATTTAATGGAAAAAAAAGATGTATGCAATATTATGCAGTCCTCTATTGACAATGTTTTGCCCACACAGTGGACTTTATCAAATCACAAACAGATATACCTGGAGAGAGAGAAAGAGAGAGAGAATGTGTGTATATGTATATAAAGAGTGTGGTGACATGAAGTTGTAGGTGACGTATGTTGAAACTTGTCTTGTTTAGACTAATGACAGGTTGGATGAATTTATGGCTGAGAAGAGGTTGGATTTAAGAAAAACCTGTCTAGCATGGGCTACTAAGCCTGCTGCATTGTTTTAACTATGTTGGATAACAGTGAAGAAGTTTCTTAGCAAGAGGCTCGCTGTGTTGTAGAAGTCATTGTTCTTTTTGATTTTCACTTTTTTTTTTTTTTTTTTTTCAACAAGTCGGCCGTCTCCCACCGAGGCAGGGTGACCCAAAAAAGAAAGAAAATCCCCAAAAAGAAAATACTTTCATCATCATTCAACACTTTCACCACACTCACACATTATCACTGTTTTTGCAGAGGTGCTCAGAATACAACAGTTTAGAAGCATACACATATAAAGATACACAACATATCCCTCCAAACTGCCAATATCCCAAACCCCTCCTTTAAAGTGCAGGCATTGTACTTCCCATTTCCAGGACTCAAGTCCGACTATATGAAAATAACCGGTTTCCCTGAATCCCTTCACTAAATATTACCCTGCTCACACTCCAACAGATTGTCAGGTCCCAATACCATTTGTCTCCATTCACTCCTATCTAACACGCTCACGCACGCTTGCTGGAAGTCCAAGCCCCTTGCCCACAAAACCTCCTTTACCCCCTCTCTCCAACCCTTTCGAGGACGACCCCTACCCCGCCTTCCTTCCCCTATAGATTTATATGCTTTCCATGTCATTCTACTTTGATCCATTCTCTCTAAATGACCAAACCACCTCAAGTCCTCTTCAGCCCTCTGACTAATACTCTTATTAACTCCACACCTTTTCCTAATTTCCACACTCCGAATTTTCTGCATAATATTTACACCACACATTGCCCTTAAACAGGACATCTCCACTGCCTCCAACCGTCTCCTCGCTGCTGCATTTACCACCCAAGCTTCACACCCATATAAGAGTGTTGGTACTACTATACTTTCATACATTCCCTTCTTTGCCTCCATAGATAACGTTTTTTGACTCCACATATACCTCAACGCACCACTCACCTTTTTTCCCTCATCAATTCTATGATTAACCTCATCCTTCATAAATCCATCTGCCGACATGTCAACTCCCAAGTATCTGAAAACATTTATTCTTCCATACTCCTCCTCCCCAATTTGATATCCAATTTTTCTTTATCTAAATCATTTGATACCCTCATCACCTTACTCTTTTCTATGTTCACTTTCAACTTTCTACCTTTCCACACATTCCCAAACTCATCCACTAACCTTTGCAATTTTTCTTTAGAATCTCCCATAAGCACAGTATCATCAGCAAAAAGTAACTGTGTCAATTCCCATTTTAAATTTGATTCCCCAAAATTTAATCCCACCCCTCTCCCGAACACCCTAGCATTTACTTCCTTTATAACCCCATCTATAATCACTGTTATTTCATAAAATTATGTTTATCTTTATACTTACTGGGATAGGAGACATGGGGTACCTTTTTCACTTACCCTAATCATTCAGCTTTATGAACCATAATTATTATTATTATTTGTTATTATCATAATTATTACTGTATTACTGTATTGTTTGTTATTATTATTCTCAGAGCCAGATCCAGTAAAGACCCCAACAGTGGCCAAACTTGTGAAACCTCCTTCAGCTTCTGGATCTCACAAGAAGAATCACAATGATGTCAAAGAAAAAAATAAGCATGATATGGATGGGCAGCAAAATGGCAAAAGAGAAGCAAAGCACAGGTCATCAGAGACTGCTGAGAGAGAAGGAAAATGCAGGAAAAATAAAAATATAAACTTTAAGGAGGAAACAAAAACAGATAGAGCATCTACTGCCAAATCTCCTACATCAATCTTACTACCAGTGAAGAAAAAATTTAAGCCTTTCTCATCACTCATGGATGATGTCTTTTTTGTCATGAGTGGTTATCAGAACCCACAACGATCACAGCTACGAGACATGATGGTAGACATGGGAGCCAAGTACAAAAGTGATTGGGACCCAAAGTGTACCCACTTAATGTAAGAAGCATTTTTATTTTGTTTCTACTACACATTTGTTTGTTAACTCAAAAAAGTCTTCAGTTACTGCATATTAAATTTAAGTATAGCTATTCATTAAAGATTTGTGTTATTGTTGAAGCTTCCAGCATTGGCACAGTGAACTTTTGACCTGCGGCATCTGTTACATTTCTTCACTCTTATTTTCTGCATAATATTCACACCACACGTTGACCTCCAACACAGCTCAATTGCCTCCAGCCTCCTCCTTAGTACAACATATAAAGTCCATACCTCACACTCTTTTATGAAGAGATTCAGGGAAACCAGTTAGCCAGATTTGAGTCCTGGAGGTGGGAGATACAGTGCCTATGCTCTGAAGGAGGAGTGTTGATTTTTTTTTTTTAACAAGTTGGCTGTCTCCCACCAAGGCAGGGTGACCCAAAAAGAAAGAAAATCCTCAAAAAGAAAATACTTTCATCATCATTCAACACTTTCACCTCACTCATACATAATCACTGTTTTTGCAGAGGTGCTCAGAATACAACAGTTTAGAAGCATATACGTATAAAGACACACAACATATCCCTCCAAACTGCCAATATCCCAAACCCCTCCTTTAAAGTGCAGGCATTGTACTTCCCATTTCCAGTACTCAAGTCTGGCTGTATAAAAATAACCGGTTTCCCTGATTTTTTTTTTTTTTTTTTTTTTTTTTTTTAACAAGTCGGCCGTCTCCCACCGAGGCAGGGTGACCCAAAAAAGAAAGAAAATCCCCAAAAAGAAAATACTTTCATCATCATTCAACACTTTCACCACACTCGCACATTATCACTGTTTTTGCAGAGGTGCTCAGAATACAACAGTCTAGAAGCATACACATATAAAGATACACAACATATCCCTCCAAACTGCCAATATCCCAAACCCCTCCTTTAAAGTGCAGGCATTGTACTTCCCATTTCCAGGACTCAAGTCCGACTATATGAAAATAACCGGTTTCCCTGAATCCCTTCACTAAATATTACCCTGCTCACACTCCAACAGATCGTCAGGTCCCAAGTACCATTCGTCTCCATTCACTCCTATCTAACACGCTCACGCACGCTTGCTGGAAGTCCAAGCCCCTTGCCCACAAAACCTCCTTTACCCCCTCTCTCCAACCCTTTCGAGGACGACCCCTACCCCGCCTTCCTTCCCCTATAGATTTATATGCTTTCCATGTCATTCTACTTTGATCCATTCTCTCTAAATGACCAAACCACCTCAACAACCCCTCTTCTGCCCTCTGACTAATACTTTTATTAACCCCACACCTTCTCCTAATTTCCACACTCCGAATTTTCTGCATAATATTTACACCACACATTGCCCTTAAACAGGACATCTCCACTGCCTCCAACCGTCTCCTCACTGCTGCATTTACCACCCAAGCTTCACACCCATATAAGAGTGTTGGTACTACTATACTTTCATACATTCCCTTCTTTGCCTCCATAGATAACGTTTTTTGACTCCACATATACCTCAACGCACCACTCACCTTTTTTCCCTCATCAGTTCTATGATTAACCTCATCCTTCATAAATCCATCCGCCGACACGTCAACTCCCAAGTATCTGAAAACATTCACTTCTTCCATACTCCTCCTCCCCAATTTGATATCCAATTTTTCTTTATCTAAATCATTTGACACCCTCATCACCTTACTCTTTTCTATGTTCACTTTCAACTTTCTACCTTTACACACATTCCCAAACTCATCCACTAACCTTTGCAATTTTTCTTTAGAATCTCCCATAAGCACAGTATCATCAGCAAAAAGTAAGTGTGTCAATTCCCATTTTGAATTTGATTCCCCAAAATTTAATCCCACCCCTCTCCCGAACACCCTAGCATTTACTTCCTTTACAACCCCATCTATAAATATATTAAACAACCATGGTGACATTACACATCCCTGTCTAAGACCTACTTTTACCGGGAAGTAGTCTCCCTCTCTTCTACACACCCTAACCTGAGCCTCACTATCCTCATAAAAACTCTTTACAGCATTTAATAACTTACCACCTATTCCATATACTTGCAACATCTGCCACATTGCTCCTCTATCCACTCTATCATATGCCTTTTCTAAATCCATAAATGCAATAAAAACTTCCCTATCTTTATCTAAATACTGTTCACATATATGCTTCAATGTAAACACCTGATCTACACATCCCCTACCCACTCTGAAACCTCCTTGCTCATCCGCAATCCTACATTCTGTCTTACCTCTAATTCTTTCAATTATAACCCTAACCGTACACTTTTCCTGGTATACTCAGTAAGCTTATTCCTCTATAATTTTTACAGTCTCTTTTGTCCCCTTTCCCTTTATATAAAGGGACTATACATGCTCTCCGCCAATCCCTAGGTACCTTCCTCTCTTCATACATTTATTAAACAAAAGTACCAACCACTCCAACACTATATCCCCCCCTGCTTTTAACATTTCTGTCATGATCCCATCAGTTCCAGCTGCTTTACCCCCTTTCATTTTACGTAATGCCTCACGTACCTCCCCCACACTTACATTCTGCTCTTCTTCACTCCTAAAAGATGGTATACCTCCCTGACCAGTGCATGAAATTACTGCCTCTGTTTCTTCCTTAACATTTAAAAGTTCCTCAAAATATTCTTGCCATCTACCCAATACCTCCATCTCCCCATCTACTAACTCCCCTACTCTGTTTTTAACGGACAAATCCATATTTTTCCCTATGCTTTCTTAACTTGTTTAACTCACTCCAAAATTTTTTCTTATTTTCATTAAAATTTCTTGACAGTGCCTCTCCCACTCTATCATCTGCTCTCCTTTTGCACTCTCTCACCACTCTCTTTACCTTTCTTTTACTCTCCATATACTCTGCTCTTCTTATAACACTTCTGCTTTGTAAAAACCTCTCATAAGCTACCTTTTTCTCTTTTATCACACCCTTTACTTCATCATTCCACCAATCACTCCTCTTTCCTCCTGCCCCCACCCTCCTATAACCACAAACTTCTGCCCCACATTCTAATACTGCATTTTTAAAACTATTCCAACCCTCTTCAACCCCCCCACTACTCATCTTTGCACTAGCCCACCTTTCTGCCAATAGTCGCTTATATCTCACCCGAACTTCTTCCTCCCTTAGTTTATACACTTTCGCCTCTCTCTTACTTGTTGCCATTTTCCTTTTGTCCCATCTACCTCTTACTCTAACTGTAGCTACAACTAAATAATGATCTGATATATCAGTTGCCCCTCTATAAACATGTACATCCTGAAGCTTACCCATCAACCTTTTATCCACCAACATGTAATCTAACAAACTACTTTCATTACGTGCTATATCATACCTTGGATATTTATTTATCCTCTTTTTCATAAAATATGTATTACTTATTACCAAACATCTATCTACACATAGCTCAATTAAAGTCTCCCCATTTTCACTTACCCCTGGCACCCCAAATTTACCTACTACTCCCTCCACAACATTTTTACCCACTTTAGCATTGAAATCTCCAACCACAAGTACTCTCACACTTGGTTCAAAACTCCACACACTCACTCAACAATTCCCAAAACCTCTCTCCTCTACACTTCTCTCTTCTCCAGGCGCATATACGCTTACTGCAACCCACTTTTCACATCCAACCTTTATTTTACTCCACATAATCCTTGAATTAATACATTTATACTCTTTTCCTGTCATAGCTAATCCTTCAACATTATTGCTACTCCTTCTTTAGCTCTAACTCTGTTTGAAACCCCTGACCTAATCCCATTTATTTCTCTCCACTGAAACTCTCCCACCCCCTTCAGCTTTGTTTCACTTAAAGCCAGGACATCCAGCTTCTTCTCATTCATAGCACCCACAATCATCTCTTTCCTATCATTCGCACAACATCCATGCGCATTCAGACATCCCACTTTGACAATTTTCTTCTTCTTTTTAGTAATCTGTACAGGAAAAGGGGTTAGTAGCCTATTGTTCCCGACATTTTAGTTGACTTTTACAACACGCATGGTTTACGGAGGAAAGATTCTTATTCCACTTCCCCATAGATATAAAAGAAAAAGTAATAAGAACAAGAACTATTAAGATAAAATCAAAGAATACTCAGATGAGTGTTAAAAAAAAAAATGTATGTGTAGTGTGACCTAAGTGTATGTAGAAGTAGCAAGACGTACCTGTAATCTTTCTTATTTATGAGACAGACAAAAGTCACCAGCAATCCTATGATCATGTAAAACAATTACAGGCTGTCGTTTTACACTCACTTGGCAGGACGGTAGTACCTCCCTGGGTGGTTGCTGTCTACCAACCTATGTTGCAGTTTTTAAACTGTAGTGTAGACATGCCTTTGGCAAGACAGTGGTGGAGTGAATGATGATGAGGAAAGTGTTGCTTCTTTTTCAGGTCACCCTGCCTTGGTGGGAAACAGCCGGTGTGTTAATAAAAAAAATAATAACCTTACACTCATTTGAAAGTGTTAGCACTACTGTATTCTGAAACATTTCTACTTTTTTTTTTACAGTCCTTGCTTTCCTTATCTATTTTTATTTCCATCTTCTCTGCCAGCACATTCACTCCTGAATACATTCACTCCTCCACACTCCTTTCCTACAATTTGATGTCCAGTTTTTTGTTGCCTAGACTACTTATTCTCATCACCTTGCTCCTTTATATGTTCACTTTTAATTTCTTTCTTCTTTCAACACACCGGCCATATCCCACCGAGGCAGGGTGGCCCAAAAGGAAAAACGAAAGTTTCTCCTTTCAAATTTAGTAATATATACAGGAGAAGGGGTTACTAGCCCTTATTCTCCCAGCATTTTAGTCGCCTCTTACAACACGCATGGCTTACGGAGGAAGAATTCTGTTCCACTTCCCCATGGAGATAAGAGGAAATAAACAAGAACAAGAACTAGAAAGAAAATAGAAGAAAACCCAGAGGGGTATGTATATATACGCTTGTACATGTATGTGTAGTGTGACCTAAGTGTAAGTAGAAGTAGCAAGACATACCTGAAATCTTGCATGTTCATGAGACAGAAAAAAGTACACCAGCAGTCCTACCATCATTTAAAACAATTACAGGCTTTCGTTTTACACTCACTTGGCAGGACGGTAGTACCTCCCTAGGCGGTTGCTGTCTACCAACCTACTACCTAGGTTCACTTTTAATTACCTTCATTTATACGCCCTCCTAAATTCCTTCAGTAACCTCTGTATCTTTCTTCTGAATCTTCTCAAAAGCAATGTGTCATTAGTTAAGAGCAACTGTGGCTACTTCCACATCATATCTGATCCATTAAATTTTAAGCCCACATCTCTCCTCATCACATTAGCATTCACTACTTTTATAACACTATCAATAAAGACTTTAAATAACCACATTCCTGTTTAAGGCCTGCTTTTACTGGAAAATACTCCTCTCTGAGCAGCTTACTCCCCTATCATACTCTTACAGCTCTAGATAACCAACCACCTAATCGATATATTTGCATTACCTGTCACATTTATGTTTTATCCACTCTGTTATATGCCTTTTCCAAATCCATTAATGTCATAAATATAACTTCTCACCCTTATACGTATATAAGAATTACTCATTTTTATGCTCTAATGCAAGCACTTGATTGACACGTTTACTTCCATTCCTAAGTCTGGTGAATTTAAATTTATTTTAATTTTGAAGTGTGAGTGCTGTATGTAGACTGTGTGTTCTGTCTTCTTTCTTTCAATGCACCAGCTGCATTCCACTGAAGCAGGGTGCCTCCCCCCTCCCCCCCAAAAAAAAAAAGTTTCTCCTTTTAACGTTAGTAATGTATACAAGAGAACAGGTTACTAGCCCCTTGCTCCTGGCATTTTAGTCGCCTCTTACAACAAGCATGGCTTACAGTGAGGTCAAAAGCTCAGTGCCCCAAGGCACTGTCCTTGCACCTCTGCTGTTTCTCATCCTCATAGCAGACATAGACAAAAACACCCAGCACACTTTTGTATCATCATTTTCAGATGACACTAAAATATGCATAAAAGTCACTATGGTAGAGGACACTGAATAAAGTACATGTACAGGAAGACATAAACAGGGTTTTCCAGTGGGCAGTGGAGAACAACATGACATTCAGTGGTGATAAGTTCCAGCTGCTTAGGTATGGAAAGAATGAAGAACTCAAAAGGAACACTATATACAAAACTCAAGAGGGTCACTAAATAGAATGTAAGGAACACACAAAAGACCTAGGAATAATTTTGTCAGTGGACCTTTCTTTTAAAGACCATAACAAGACAAAGATCATGACAGCCAGGAAGATGATGAGGTAGGTATTGAGAACTTTCAAAACAAGGGAAATAATGCCGATGGTGACACTCTTCAAATTGCTGGTGCTCCCCCACTTAGAATATTGCTCAGTGCTAATGGCCCCATTCAAAGCAGGAGAAATATTGGAGCTGGAACAAATACAGAGATCGTTTACAGCTCACATTGAGCCTGTAAAGCACCTAAACTACTGGGAACGCCTGCAAGTCTTGAACATGTATTCGTTGGAAAATACTTGAGGGCCTGGTCCCAAATCTGCACACTGCCATAACAACATACTGGAGTGAGAGATATGGGAGGAAGTGTAAAATAAATCCAGTGAGGCGCAGGGAACACTGTGTCAACATCCGGGGTCCCAGACTATTCAATATCTTACCAGAAGATATCAGAAACATGGCTGGGACAAGTGTAGAAGCCTTCAAGAGGAAACTGGACAAGTATCTTCACCAGGTGCCAGATCAACCAAGCTGTGATGGATATGTGGGGGCAGCAGGCCTCCAGCAGCAACAGCCTGGTTGACCAGGCAAGCACCAGACGAGCCTGGCCCATGGCCGGGCTCAGAGAGTAGATAAACTCTCAAAACTCTTCAAAGGTATATCAGAGGAAGAATTCTGTTCCACTTACCCATGGAGACAGGAGGGAATAAACAAGAACAAGAATAGTAAGAAAAAAGAAGAAAACCCAGAGGGGTGTATATATAGTATATGGTTGTATAATATATATGGTTGTACATGTATGTGTAGTATGACCCAAGTGTAAGCAGAAGTAGCAAGACATACCTGAAATCTTTCATGTTTATGAGACAGAAAAATGGCACCAGCAATCCTACCATCATGTAAAACAATTACAGGCTTCTATTTTTCACTCACTTGGTAGGATGGTAGTACCTCCCTGTGCGGTTGTAGACTACGTATGTATATTATATTAAATTTAGTAAGTCACAGGAAATGAAACACTGAATATTTCTTTTTAAAGAATAGCACTCCATAGATGTGTGTATGGAGAAAAAAGATACTGCTAATATTACAAAAGTTTTGAAATCTGCTAAAAATCATCCAGTAAAATACACAAATCAGACATAATTGCGCAAGTTAAAAAGCTTTCAGTGTTCATAAATAATTATGCATTACTTATTAATTGAACTGTGTGTAAAAAGAATTAATTTAATTTAATTATATTCTCTAATACTTTTTAAGGATCCCCTGAAAATTTTCAGCCCATCTCCTCTTGCCCTACATTAAATTGTTCAGTATAGTCATAAAAATTTTTGCATGAAAAAATTGTGTGGCAGTTTCTATATTTTTGCACCAAAACTAGCCTATTAACCTAACTTAACCTTGAAATAATTTTCCAATATTATATACATTAGCAGAAATTTACCTAGTCTTCAAGGATTTTTATAATAATAATAACTGTTTTACTTTAGGTTAGGGAATGTAGTTCTTCAGGTGACAGCTTTTTTGTATCATTGTTTTCATTTTTCAAGCAGGATACACTTTTGTATGTGTGATGTATTTATAGCAGTTGTTTCTTACAAACCTGCAGATGTGCATTTACAAACACTCCAAAATATCAGCAAGTGAAAGGGCATGGTAAAATTGTCACTGCAAAGTGGATCACCGATTGCCACAATAAGAAGATCAGATATCCTTGCAAAAGGTAAACCTTTTATATTTACTAAATATAAACTGCTATACTGTCTTTAGTAGCACAGCTTTCAGGAACATAACCGACTCAAATTATGATTGTCCACTGTATGTGTATGTTGATAAGAAATAGATTGATATACGAGGACCAGTTTCAAATTTTATTTCCCCATGATTCAACTCTGAGGTTATATATATCTATACTTTATTTTTTTGCAAGTCCCTTGTTATGGAAACCATTTATGGCATGCTGAAACTAGTATTAAAAAACTTTATAATACTAGTACAGGTATAAAGATAAGGATTATTACATGTATTTATAGTTTTGTGTGACAACTCAGCATTAATAATTTCTGGTAAAAATAGAGCATTTTGAGCAATTATATACTTGGACTAGTAATATAGTGTAGTATAATATACCATAAGCAGTATTTATCTAAAATGAAGTGAAGCTTTGTACTCTGCTTGAAATTATGAACTTAGATAAACCTTGTTTTTAAAAGTTTATATTTGTTTATGATGATGTAATTTAAAGTTAAATTATGTACATACTAAATTGTACTCTACATATTAAAGCTTAAATCCTACATTAATGCAAATGTAGCCATATTGAAACTTTATATTTTTCCAAGATTAACGTTTATACTAGTACAGTATACTGAACTTTAATGATAAGATATACCTGAATCAACTTAACATGAGAATTACTACTGTAATTGCTGTCTACTGTATGATCAGGTATTCACTGGAAAAGGGACGTGACCAGACTGAAAGTGAAGAAGAGATTTGGGCAGATGAGCTTTTGCCCAAAGAATCCAAACCAGCTGTTAACCCATCACCTCATGCTTCAGCTGCTGCCTCAGGTTTATAGTGTTATCTCTCTTGTACCATTAACCCTTAAACGGTCCAAACAGATCGACGTTCAACTCCGTAGTGCTCCAAAAGTAGATCTACGTTTTTTTACATATTTTCGAACATAACAAAAAAACAAATGTAGATAAAAGTTTTTTTTTACACATTTTCAAATGAAAATCAAAAAAGAAGATCTACATTTTTTTACATACTTTCAAATGTTGAAAAAACGTATATACAGTGGACCCCCGGTTAACGATATTTTTTTCATTCCAGAAGTATGTTCAGGTGCCAGTACTGACCGAATTTGTTCCCATAAGGAATATTGAGAAGTAGATTAGTCCATTTCAGACCCCCAAACATACACGTACAAACGCACTTACATAAATACACTTACATAATTGGTCGCATTGGGAGGTGATCGTTATGCTGGGGTCCACTGTATACGTTTGGACCATTTAAGGATCTCGTACTTTTTTCCACTTCTTTGGTTTTCATATGTTAACTTGATAATGCTTATGCACCCTGATTTCAAACTTTCTATACCTATGTATCTTCCTAAAACAATGGTTCATATTGTAATTAAACATGGTGGTGTTGTACTAGAGAAAACATGTCATAGTAATTGTCATACACTCCTTTACACCCTGATAAATTAGACATATATGCAACACTTAGGTATCTTTATTGAGGAAACGTTTTACCACACAGTGGCTTCATCAGTCCATACAAAGGAGAATGATGAAGAACAGGAGTTTGAGGTAATCAGTTCCTCAGTCTTGAGTCAATGTAGTCAGTCCATCAATCTTGAAAAGAATACAGAATACATGCATGTGCAAAGAAGTAGCTTATATACCGTAGGCAGGAGAGGTGCAGTAGTCGTAGGTGGTATCACATTTGCCTGACCCTTGGGCATGACCTACTTCCACATTGGTCAAATGTGATACCACCTACGGCTGCTGCACCTCTCCTGCCTACGGTATATAAGCTACTTCTTCATATATATGCTGTAATCTTTTCAAGATTGATGGACTGACTACATCGATTCAAGAAAGTGGCTCCTGTACAGCTCATCAGAGGGTGCTGTTTATTGCTTTTATTGTACTCTGATGTCCAGCGGATGTGGCGGGTTTTCCAACAAGGATGGCTTTATTAACTGGAAAAAAGCAGAGGAAAAAATGAAAATTCGTGAAAAAATCAAGGTCACCGAAATTCTGAGGGACTGATTACCTCAGACTCCTCCTGTTCTTTATCATTCTCTTTTGTATGGACTGAAGAAGCTACTGTGTGGCAAAATGTTTCCTCAATAAAGATACCCAAGTGTTGCATATGTGTCTAATTTATCAACTTGTCGGCTCTCTGAACCATTCATCTACATTCCTTTACACCCGCCCGGCTACCACACCTCACAGTTATAATTTGTTTTAGTACAGTTGTCTGTATCATGTTTATATGATATGTAGTGTGTTTCTTATATAATTTTGAAATATGTCATATATGGATTAACCTTTTTGGTGTCAGTCTCATCATATAATGGCTTTGAAGCCAGTGTTGGTCCCTTCGTACAATGCCATGAGCTCAGCTCACTCAGATTAGCTGCGAGCAGTAAATTTGAGTCTAGGTGTGAGAGAATGGGTCTATGTGGTAAGTGTGCACCATATAAAAAAATCCTGCAGCACACAGCACATGAGAAAAAAACTGCGACTGTGTTTTTGGTTTAAAACAGCAACTTTGTGGTGTATTTTCGGATGGTTTTTATGGTTTTATTTGCGGTTTCTTGGTCTCATTTGATAGAATGGAAGATATATTACAGAAATATAGATGATTTTGATTGGTTTCAGGACTGAAAGTAGGTTGAAACTGAGCTCAAAGTAGTGGAAATGTTCAATTTTTGCCAATATTCCAGAGTACACAAATATGCATCCAGCTTGCCAATCTAATACACATTTAGGAATGCACTGACATTATACAATTATTACAATAATACAGTAGTTTGCATAACAGTAATCTTCTATTTTTTATGTGAGTAAGCATTCAAAATGGAAAGCAAGCGTATTATAAGAGGGGCCTAGAGACATGACTGAGGAACAGAGGAAATGTTTTGTTAGTGCCAGGAATGTCTACATTGTTTATTCTGGACCCTATTTTTAAATTGGCAATTTTTGAATGTTGTGTGAAATTTCTGATCACTTTATTGGGTAATTGAAATAGGTAAATAGGCATTTTCTTGTACTCACTTGCTGAATTGAAGGAATACTAATGAAATGCCTATGAGTTTGGTCGACTGGAATAATGGAATTGGCCAAAAATAGGGCGCAAAGTGGGCAAAAATCGCTGATGCGTAAATATCGCCAAGACCGCTAATTTTGCAAGAGTGTAATTCCATAAGTTTTCCATCAAATTTTGTAGTTTTGGTTTCTTTAACTTCAGAAAAAGATTCTCTGTCATTTCATAAGATAATTTTTTTTTTTTTTTAAATTCTTTGACCCCTGAGAGCAAGTTTGAGATCAGGGGTCTCGACCCTGAAAGGGTTAATGAAAATGTCTAAAATAACATAACACATGACATTTAAAGTGCCCCAGTAATTATTATTATTAGGATTATTATGTTATTGTGTCTTCAAATAGTGATTTTAATGTATCTGCACACCAACACAGTTTGTAAGTTTATTTAAGTAGAGGTACACATAAATACAATTATCAGTAGTATCTCAGTACTATCTCAGCCATAGACATGCCTTGCTCACTGAGTTTAATCATTTCTAACTTTGCACTTAAAGTAAGAGCATTATGACTCCTCTTTTTATCACAACTACCCTTAGATGTCATTGTAACACAAAAAGAGTATACTGTATATAAAATATGCAGTAACTTTAAAACACTTGAAACTTTGGAAAGTTTCCAGACATAATCGAGAAAGACATGGAGTTCACAGAGGATGTAAACTAACAGATACCATAATAGTGTAGCTGTATAAACGAATTTTTGGGTACAGTTTGAAATTTCTGCATTAGAGAAGTGCAGTAAAGCAGGGCTTGCCTATAGTTCTTTTGTGAATGATTTCTGAAATGGTTTCTTTGATGACGTGTAGAACACCAAACTCACTGAAGTGTAGTCAGTTCTTGAGTTTTACAGGGATTACAGTCCTAGACATTCTACTAAATCCAGGAAGTACAAATATCACTTAAATTTGTCTGTGTAATTTATTGCTCTGCAAATGGCTAGGGAAAAATTATGAAAAATGCATCTAAAATTATAAAAGAAGAGGAGAGTGCTTAAAATGTGCCATACTCTTAAACTTTCCAGTTTCTCATTTTTTCTTTTCATTCCAGCAGGTGATGAAATTGGTTCTGATATTAGCACTGACATGAGTGACAATGAAGATACTGATGATGAGATTCAAAGGTAAATTATAAAATGATGTTTATAGATTTATAGTTTATAATTTTACATAGAATCTCTGGATGATATGGGAATCATGGGGCACCATAACCTCCTCCAATTTTCTCACATTGGCCTGTTTCATAACTATTGAACAACCTTGGGGATATAAGACAACCTTGGTATATCCTTCACAGCATCCTTTATAGTATATCAAATAAATAATATTTAGGTTCTAGTGACAAATGCCCCTAATTCTGACTCTTTTTGCTCTTACTTTTATGCCTTGGCACACTTATGACATGTTGGATAGTAAGGCTTGCTGAAAAATATGATAAAAAGAGTATATGCAGAGCAATACTCTTTTTTACCACAATTATAGCATTTTTCCAATAATCATACATAGTAACACTTAGTGGCATGTTCTCCAATCATCAGACAAAGTGCCACTTAGTGGCATGTTTTCAAGTAATCAGATACAATGCCACTTAGTGGTATGTTCTTCAGTAATCAGGTATAGTGCCATTCAGTGGCATGTTCTCCAGTAATCAGACACAGTGCCACTTAGTGGCATGTTCTCCAGTAATCAGACACAGTGCCACTTAGTGGCATGCTCTCCAGTAATCAGATACAGTTCCACTTAGTGGCATGTTCTCCAGTAATCAGATACAGTGCCACTTAGTGGCATGTTCTCCAGTAATCAGATACAGTGCTACTTAGTGGCATGTTCTCCAGTAATCAGATACATTGCCACTTAGTGGCATGTTCTCCAGTAATCAGACACAGTGCCACTTAGTGGCATGCTCTCCAGTAATCAGATACAGTTCCACTTAGTGGCATGTTCTCCAGTAATCAGATACAGTGCCACTTAGTGGCATGTTCTCCAGTAATCAGATACAGTGCTACTTAGTGGCATGTTCTCCAGTAATCAGATACATTGCCACTTAGTGGCATGTTCTCCAGTAATCAGATACAGTGCTACTTAGTGGCATGTTCTCCAGTAATCAAACACAGTGCCTCTTTGTGGCATTTGAATATTTAAAGGTTTGTAGTCTATCTCAGGAATAAACTCTGATAGCTTAGTGTGTAAAAAAAAAACATACCCCCGGCCAGGATTGAACCCACGGTCATAGAGTCTCATTACGATTTCTTGAGTCTTAGTGTGTAAAAGAAGTGTTACCACTGAAGCACGAAAGTTCGTACAGTTGAGGCATAGCCAACAGTAATGCCGAGCTCAATATCTGAACCTTGGCAAAAAATGCCTTAAACTATTTGTACATTTTAAATTTTTTATTGTTTTTTACAGATAGCGTATAAAAATAGCACTTTTATAATTTTTTTTGTGATAGTTAAGATGTAAAGCTTGCCCCTACTATTGTATCTACAATGCCTCATATGTAACTTTATATTTTATCAGTAATGCTGTGTAGATAACTGAAATATTGACATTTTTACTTTTACAGAGTTCTTGCAAGACAGAAAATAACTACAGAAGATTCAACCTCCAAAAAGACAAACAATCTACACAGTACAAAACCAGATACTCCTAGTAAAATGGAGGGAAAAGATAAATCATCTACAGAAAATGCAAAGAAAGACAAACAAGCAGCAGCTGTGAATAATGCTAAGAAAAACCTCAAAGCAGATGGGACTGCGGCCGTATCAAATGGCACGGCAGTTAGCAGCGAGGATGAGGTGTATGACGACGACACAGATGTAGATGAGGAAAACCTTAAGTATCTGGTAAGTATTTGAAGGTGCACTCAGTTTGAAGACTTTCTTAATAGCAAACATAATAATAATATACTAATAATACAGTCTCTTCTCACTTAACGATGGAGTTCTTTTCCTAAGAGTAGGTTGGTAGACAAATTGGTTATTAAGTGAGGAGCATACTACTACTAAGATGAGGTGAATCATAGAATTGATGAGGGGAAAAGGGGGAGCGGTGCACTTAGGAGTCTGTGGAGACAAAGAACTTTGTCCTTGGAGGCAAAGAGGGGAATGTATGAGAGTATAGTTTTACCAACGCTCTTATATGGGTGTGAAGCATGGGTGATGAATGTTGCAGCGAGGAGAAGGCTGGAGGCAGTGGAGATGTCATGTCTGAGGGCAATGTGTGGTGTGAATATAATGCAGAGAATTCGTAGTTTGGAAGTTAGGAGGAGGTGCGGGATTACCAAAACTGTTGTCCACAGGGCTGAGGAAGGGTTGTTGAGGTGGTTCGGACATGTAGAGAGAATGGAGCGAAACAGAGTGACTTCAAGAGTGTATCAGTCTGTAGTAGAAGGAAGGCGGGGTAGGGGTCGGCCTAGGAAAGGTTGGAGGGAGGGGGTAAAGGAGGTTCTGTGTGCGAGGGGCTTGGACTTCCAGCAGGCATGCGTGAGCGTGTTTGATAGGAGTGAATGGAGACAAATGGTTTTTAATACTTGACGTGCTGTTGGAGTGTGAGCAAAGTAACATTTATGAAGGGATTCAGGGAAACCGGCAGGCCGGACTTGAGTCCTGGAGATGGGAAGTACAGTGTCTGCACTCTGAAGGAGGGGTGTTAATGTTGCAGTGTAAAAACTGTAATGTAAAGCACCCTTCTGGCAAGACAGTGATGGAGTGAATGATGGTGAAAGTTTTTCTTTTTCGGGCCACCCTGCCTTGGTGGGAATCGGCCAGTGTGTTAATAAAAACATACTACTACTACTAACTGGAAAGTTTAAGAGTATGGCATACTGTATACTGGTAGTGGATGTATCAACCATCTTTAGATATTGTTTCAATGTCACTTTTGCACCATTTATAAACTTTTTAGTATATTTTTAAATGTTTACACAGTAGTGTACTGTATATTGTAATAAACAGGATAGAGGGAATCAGCTCTAATATACATTATTTTGGTATGCATACTGCTCAGAGAGCTGGTCATAAGTCTGAGTGGTCATTAAATGAGCATGTCATTAAGTGAGGAGAGACTGTAATAATAATAATAATAATAATAATAATAATAATAATATATTTTCTCCATGGGGAAGTGGAAAAGAATTCTTCATCTGTAAGCCATGTGTGTTGTAAAAAGTGACTAAAATACCAGGAGCATGGGGCTAGTAACCCCTTTGTATAAATTACTAAATTTTAAAAGAAAAACTTTCATTTTTCTTTTTGGGTCACTCTGCCTTGGTGGGATACAGCTGGTTTGTTAAAAAAATGTATAAAAAATAATAATACACTTGAGTAAGTATAGTTCAAACATTAAAGATGCCTTATAGCTACTCACTCTCACCATCCTCATTTGTTTTATCCTCCACTGAAGTATTGGATGGGTAAAAGAGTTATATTCCTCAGTATCTGAACATTGGCAATGACTTGTGCATGCTATATTATTATTATTATTATAATCAAGGGGGAAGCGCTAAACCCGGAGGATTATACAGTGCCTGGGGGGGGATGTGGAAGGCATTCAGGCTTAATTCAGGGAACTGGAGCACAGATCCAATTCCCTAAATCAAGAGCCCCTCACCAACATCAAGGAACCTTCCTTGAGGGGATGTGCATGCTATAACAGCAGTAAAACAGCTGAATCTCTCTTGGGCTTGGCGTTTATGCAGCCTTCGCAGTGCTGGGGGGCCCCAGACTGGAATTGAAGGAGAATAGGGCTTTATCAGTTTTTTTCCCAGCCAAATCAGTATGTCCACGGTGGGGGTGCTGCTTTCTGCGTTTTTCAAAGATGAAATAGGAGAGGCACAGGAAAATTAAATGCCATGTTGTCATTAGTCAACAAAAGGGGTCTTGATTGATGGTACTTTTCCCTTTCTTCTTGGAGAGGATTTTCATAACTTAGTTGATTATGTAAGCAATGGCTGGAAACCCAAAAGAATCACTGGTAAAGGCTTTTTAAAACCTTTCCCAATGGTCATTGTGTTGTCTTTTTAAACACTGTAAGTGTTGGAAAATGGGTTGATGTGAAAAATAATAGAAGCAATTTTTTGTTACCCTATGAAATTTAAAATGTTTGTGGTATGTATTAGTGATAAAAGGGAAGTGATAGGAAATAAATAAAATACACCCCAAAAGCACTGTTGAAAATTTAAATTTATTATTTGCTGTCTAGGCATAGTATAGTAATAAAGGCATTATGTTTGGTTTGGGTAAAAAAGGAACCATAGTATGGTAATTTTTTTAAATACTTAGGGAACCAGGGTGATAAATTTTATGTGTAATAAAAAAATTTTGGGAGTTATGAAAAAGATACTTAAAATTTTTTTCTGTCAGAAAAACCCCGACACCTCTGCTCTGCCGTACCCACCCTTGGGATTACTTTAAGGGAAAGTGTTTCTTTATACATGGAAAAATGGTGGAAAATAAAAGGGGTTTTGAGACGTTATATCATAGCATTCAATGGTAAAATGACGAGCCATGTGCAACTTTTCCCAAATTTTTAGTAGTGAGGGGGTATATTTTAGATTGAAAATCTGGTTTTTGTGTTTTTCTTTAGCTTGTTGTGTTTAGGAAATGATTCCAAGGGTGTCTTGATATTCTGTGCTTTGTAGGGGAAAGAGTCAAATAAGCTTAAATTTTTTGAAATTAGATTTTTTAATTAAATAAATACATTTATGTGAATTGATATATAATATGCAGCACAGTATACAATGAAGTTTCCAGTTGCTATTGAAGCACTGTTCATAGAATTTTAGTAAGTTAGTGAGGCATGACTTCCCTTGGATTCCACAATGTTTGTGGTAATTAATATCCTCTCTAGGTGGTTTATGAATTATCTGCATGTGTGTGAGAGAGAGGGGGAAATGTGTGTGTGTACACACATGCACACATGCACACACACACACGCACACGCAACCATGCACTCATGCAGGACACAGATACAGTGAAATTAACTGAGCAACTGAGACTAAGATTGAAAGTTTTGTCTATATAGTACTACCAGTATTCAGTTTTATTAAGACAAAAATAAAATAAAGAATGCTGGTAAAAATCACAGAGCTTATTCACCAAAAGAATTTGTTCGGTTTTCACTTTCATTTTAACTGGCGCACGTGTGACTTATAGACCAAATTTCTTATTATCTTTGTTAAAGAATTGTGCAATTTAATATCACTGGAACCACAATATCAAAATGAACTCAAACTATGCATTTATTGCTATTCATTTAAAAAAAAAAAAATTTTGTTTATACTATGTGTTTTCTATTTCAGAGACCTGGAGGATTATATGAGTGAAAAAGTGCAGTTTGTTATTACTAAGGACAATTGGGATGAAAGTTTTGACGAAGTGAGTTTCAGTAAAATAAGTAGTAGATTAACTTATGTAAAACATAGTTGTAAGGGCAGGACGTGCTTTACAGCACCGCGCTTTATGGAGTTTCGCAAATACAGAGTTATACCTTTTTTTCATTCATTCAGACTTCCTACAGTAAATATATTTACCACTCACTATAAGCTAAGAACAAAGATATTTTAAGATAAATAATGTGTATACTGTATATGTATTTTTTAAGCCTAGCTATACTGCTTACTTAATATATGATAGTGTAAATAATATCAAGCTTTTATATTCATTTGAAAGTGAAAAAAAGCTAAGATTCACTTTACAGTGATTTTTGCTTTACAGCAGTATCCTGGAACCTAAGCTGCTGTATAATATGTTAGGCCCTCCTGTATCAGTATGTGTAAATTCAAGGAGATTACTTTCTCTTATTGATGGTTCTTTTCATTTTATGCATTCACACTATGGCAACAATTGTTGAGCAGCTGTTTTTTGTACTGTTGTATGCACTTACACTGTAGCAAGAATTAGTCTTCTGTTTGTTTGCCAGTTTGCACACACACTGTAGCAGTAGTTGGTCTGCTGTGTGCCTCTAATTCTACATTTTCCTCTCTCTGAAAGCTTTTTCCATTCTTTTGGTTCCTTCTACCTTGCCTTTCTGCTTCATTTTGTTTCTTGCTGAAGCCATTCTTACTCTTTCCACATATTTTTGTTCTCAGTGCTAGTAAGTGGAAGCTGTTTCTCCTGTATGATAGTCAAGTGAACATGTGGACTTCTTGAGTAGCATTTTGAAATATTTCTATAGGAGAATGGGTTATAATTCACCATCCATAAGCCATGCACAAAGTAGATGACCAAAATGCCTAAAACATGGATCTGATAACCACTCTTTCAGTACACAGTTAATAAAAATAAAATGAAAGTAATTTTTCCTTTTTTTGTGGGTCATTCTGCCTTATATAGGAAAAGGAGAATAAGCAAAAAAATGAAATGTTTTGAAAAAATAGTGCTACAAATGCCCATCTCATCAAAAGTTACAAAGTTATGAAGGGTATTAAAAACAAAGATTGATGCGATTGTGTATGGAGGATTGTATATGTAGTCAGAGAGTTACAGCAGGATTTGCATATGGGTCAGCCTGCCTTCTACAAAAGATATTTTCTGGTAAACCTGTATGGCTTTTCCAAGCCATAATAAATGATAGTGTTAGGAAAAGTGAAGTTGTATAGACCAAAAAAAGAAAATTCAGAAATTGTGAATACAGTAATTATGTTCACAAAAATCTTCAGAGCAGGTGATGTTACACAGTATTTTATTTTAACGGTTTTAACATTAGATTAAATTAAAAGGGAATTACATTGGATATGGGTTGAGCTCAGATTGCTGCCAGGCCATGAATGTTTTCTAGAAAATACAGAGTTGCAATTAATGCAGTAGACTGCATAAGAAAAATGTATTAATGTAAGGAATTATAAATCTTAGTGTTTGTAATATAGACTTGATTCTTTCAGGCTCTGAATGAGAACCCATCTCTGCAGTTTGTGAAACCTTTATGGATATGGCGCTGCAGTGACAAACAGAGACTTGTACCACACCAGCCATTTTTAATAGTGCCTACAGAATAAGTTAAGTTGCTTGATACATCAAAGTAACTAAATTATGAAAGTACAGATGCACTTTATGTACAAAACTTTAGAAAATTGACTGTTTCTTACCTCTGATATAGCCAGCTGTCAGCAGTGATCAGTCATGACTTGCAACTTTCTGACCCTGGCAGAATATTTTTTTATACCCATAAGTGCCCCAATTACAATATTTCTTATAACTATTAGCTAAAACTTTCAATATTATTATGACATTCCTTGGGTATCTCCAAGAAAGCTGATATCTCCTTTATTTTTTATTTGAAGCTGTATATGCTCCTTAAGTATACTGAGCATGCTTTTTTTGCATTAATATTTATATTAACCCTTTGACTGTCGCAACCCCAAATCCTGAGGTGTCTCCTGGTGTCGCAAAATATTTGAAAAAAAAAAAAAATTATTTTATCATGAAATGATAGATAATCTTACGGAATTACGCTCTCGCAAAGTTAGCGACCTCAGCAGTTTTTACGAATCGGCAATTTCGCCCACTTTGAGCCCTATTTTCCACTAATTCCATTGTTCCAGTTGACCAAACTCATAGCTATTTCTTTAGAACTCCATTTGTTCTATTGATTGAGTACAAGAAACTACCCATTTACCAATTTCAACTACCCAATAAAGTGGTCAGAAATTAGCAATTTGGCCAATTTCATGCAAATTAAAAAAATATGCCAATTTCAAAATAGGGTCCAGACTGGACAATGCAGACATTCCTGGCTCTAAAATAACATTTTCTTTGTTCATCAGTCGTGTCTCCAGGCCCCTTTGATATTACTCTTGCTTTGTATTTTGAATTTTTATTCAAATAGAAAATAGAAGATTTACTGTTATATAGATTACTGCAATATTGGAATAATTGTATAAATAATGTCAACCTATTCATGACTTCATATTAGAATGGCTAGTTGGACATTTATTGGACAATGACGTCATTTGTTTACTCTTGAATGTCGGCAAAAATCAAGCGTTTTCCTTATTTTGAGCTCCATTTCAAGGTCCTTTTCATAGTAAAACCAATCAAAATCACTTCCATTTCTATAATATGTTTTCCGTGCTATCAAATGAGACTACGAAAATGAGAATATAACAATAAAAACTATACGAAAATACACCGCAAAGTTGGCATTTTTAATCCAAAAACATGGTGTTGGAGTTTTTTTATCTCGTTATGCACTGCTTGCTGCAGCATTTTTTATTATACTGCGCACACTAACCACACAGACCCATTCTCTCACATGTGGGCCTACCAGCTTTCTCCTGCTTGATTTGAAGCCACTAGAATTTTTGAGTATATGTACGTCAAACATATTGGCTCGTAAGATGTATGTATATAACCAAAACAGTCAAAGGGTTAATTTTTTCCAAAGGTTCACCATTTTTTTTTTTTTAATTATTACTTTCTGTTCTTTGGTGATTAGGATGTTTGTTTATATTATGTGGAAATAAAGGACAGTGAGAAACTGGCTACGTAAACTTGAGTTTTGGAAATTACAAAATACACTGGGTGCCTGCTGTCAGGAAGTACAATGGGAGCATCATGGTTTCATGTGTCAGCACTGAACTGTGGCATCTGTGCCCTCTGAGAACACATCTAAAGTGTGAGTGATGGTTTGATGTTTGCTTCTTTGGGTCAACCTGCTGAGGTGGGTCACAGAATGTGAAATAAACTACTCAACTAGTATTAAAGAGATTCTCTGGTTATTTCTTTAAAAAATTACTTTCAGTATCTTTTGAATTTATAAAAGTGAATATTGGTATCAAAAGGTCAACAGTAAAGGAATATGGTATAACTACAGTATTATACTGTACTAGGCTTCTAGAATCATTAAATTTATTAATTGTCTCGCCATGAAATACATGTAATCGTGTTTGTCCTCTTGATTTTTGGCCTTTCATAGCAAAATACTAAATATTATAGCAATTCAAACTACAGTACTATATATTTGTATTCAAGGAAACTTTGGCATAGATAGCCACATTACATGAAAAATTCTTGTATCATATTACTTTTACACCTGCCTTATATGTTATTTTCCTTGCCTGCTTCACATGCACCTTAACACTTGCAAATCACAAGAGCTTAACATGGATGTGTTTTCGTCACCCTGCGTTGGTGGGAAATGGACATCAAGTTAAAAAAATAGACATTTGCTGTAATATTTTTCAAAGAAGCTTTTAGGAATTTTAGATTATATGGCAACTTTAATGACCTCAAAAGGTTTGTTTATTTATTGTTTATATTTTGAAGTACTTTTCTTTTTTTAACATGTCGGCCATTTCCTACTGAGGCAGAGTGACCCAAAAAGAAAGGAAAAAAAAAAAACTTTCATTATCATTCACCATTTTCACCATCATTCATACATAATCACTGTCTTTGCAGAGGCACTCAGATATGACAGATTAGATGTCCCTCCAAACAGCCAATATCCCAAACCTCTCTTAAAGTGCAGGCATTGTACTCTTCATTTCCAGGACTCAAGTCCGGCTAACCGATTTCCCTGAATCCCTTCACAAAATATTACTCTGCTCACACTCCAACAGCTTGTCAGGTCCCAAAAGCCATAGGTCTCCATTCACTTCTATCTAACACACTTATGCATACTTGCTGGAAGTCTTTCCTAGGACGACCCCTACCCCGCCTTCCTTTCCCTACAGATTTATACACTCTCCAAATCATTCTACTGTTCCATTCTCTCTAATAACCAAACCACCTCAAAAACCCCTCTTCAGCCCTTTTGACTAATACTTTTAGTAACATACCAAATAAAAATTAAATACATGTAATGTATCTGTGTATTTATTACTGCTGATAAAGAGTACAACAATAACCAATTAATGAACTTTTCATCATGTGTACATTGCGTAGCCATCTGTTACGACTCACAAAATTGTAATGACACAATTATGTAATTTGTGCATCTTCAGAAATATTTTGATTCCCAAGAATAGTTTAAAAAAAAAAAAAAAGTGTTGGCAAGATTTAGTGAATATACCAGAGGAAAGGAAGTAAAAAATTATGTAGAAAAATTGAAGTTCAAAATAAGGACTAAGTCTGGTTGAGCAGGCAAGTCTGGCCCCGGGAGTAGAAAAACTCTAAATTCAACAAAGGTATGGTCAGGTCAGTTTGTAAAAACCCTTTTTACTTTTTCAGACATTGGATCTCTTTTCCAAAGGAAAGAGAGAGTGATGAGAATATGAAAGAGGTGTTTTGCTACAGTTAAAATAGAAAGGGGTCTGTCATAAGTTCATGTTTGTCCCCTGTTTGTGTTTGTTTACAAGAACCCAAATTCTGCTCCGTTGATATCCATCCCGTTTTGGGCTATGTTTTATTATATTCATCAGATCCTTTTACCAGTGGAACCTTTAATGAAAGTGCACTTCTTATACGCACCGATATTCCATACCATCAGCTCTTTGTTAATACATCCACTTGAACAAGTGGTATATAATCTGTTCTTTGTATCTCTCTCCTTCTCGTGCATTATCTATCCCAGATGTTGCATTTCTGGTTTCTTCCTTACTGCCACCACTTCTGTTACTTGACGATTTTAATGCTCACCATTTCCTGGGGAGGGGGGTCTCACTGTAACTCCCGCGGCATTCAGTGGGAGGCTTTTCTCGCTTCTTTCCCCCTCCATGTTTTATATATGGGTACTCTCACCCATTTTGATCTTCCTACTAATTTTCTCTCGTATCAATATCTTGGTTTGCTCTTCCTCAACAGTGCTAGACTTAACCTGGTCTGTCCTCCCAGACCTGCACGACAGCAATCATTTTCCAATCATCCTTACTTCTCCTTAGTATTCACTACCTCATTGTAGCCCACGCTGACAATTTGACTGAGCAAATTGGGACCTTTACTCGTGTCAAACTGCTTTTAGTTAGGATCCTTCTTCGTCCTCCTTTGATGAGCTTTTACACCTCTTCTCAACCTCAGTTTTAACTGCAGCTTCACATTCCATACCCCAAACCTCGAGCAGGCATTGTCAGAGGTGTGTGCCTTGGTGGTCTCCTACTTGTACTCAGGCAGTGCATTTGAAACATGCTGCATGGGACAGGTGCTGGTACAATAGAACCACAGAGTAACTCCTTGATTTTAAGCAGAAGAGAGAGGTTGCTCGCCGTGTCATCCATGACGCTAAACACACTTGCTGGTGAGATTATGTTTCTACTTCGGCTTCCTCTATGAGTGCGGTCTGGAAAAAAAGTATGGAAACCGAGTGGTAAATACTCTTCCAATCCGGCTCCCGTTCTTCGGGTTGCCAGTGTTGCTATAGCAAACCCTCTTGATACTGCCACCGAAATTGGTAACCATCTTGTCCATCTCTCTCAGGGCTCCATCTATGCCCCACATTTCTTTCCTCCAAGTCTGCCAGAGAGTTAGAGCCCTTAAAGTTTTCTTCTATCTGAGAAGAATCTTATAATGTGCCTTTTACACTTCTGGAACTGGAGGCAACACTCTCTGCTTGCTGATCATCGGCAGCTGGGCCTGACGGCATTTATATTCATATGCTACAGCATTTACATCAGTCAGCCCTTGCTGTCCTCTTACTCTTTAATCTTATTTGGTTGCAAGGAGTTCTTCCCCAGCTGTGGAAACTTGCTGCTGTTCTCCCTTTCCTCAAACTGCATACTATGGGACATGATGCCTCCTACTATTGTCCCATTGCTTTTACCAGTGCAGTTTGCAAAGTGATGGAACGTCTTGTAGATAGACATTTGATGTGGTATTTAGACACACACAATAGTCTTTCTACTAGTCAGTATGGCTTTCGTAAGGGTCGTTCTACCATTGACCCCCTACTATGCTTGGATACGTATGTTCGTAATGCCTTTGCTAATAACCGCTCAGTTATCGCCATCTTTTTTGACCTTGAGAAGGCATATAACACAACTTGGATGTATAACATTTTGGCCCAGGCCCACTCCTTAGGCCTCCAAGGCAATCTATTGTTTTTCCTTAAGAACTTCTTAACTGAGAGACATATATGTGTTTGGGTTAACAATATGCTTTCCCTGGACTTTGTCCAAGCTGAAGGTGTCCCCCAGGACTGTGTTCTGAGCACAACACTTTCTCCTTGCTATAAGTGATCTGGCATCTATTCTTCCATTGAATATATGGTCATCACTTTATGTTGATGACTTTGCTATAGCTTGTGCAGGTGCTGACTGTTACCTCATTGCAGTTTCTCTACAGCATGCAGTCAACTGTATTTCCAATTGGGCCACTACTCATGGGTTTAAATTTTATAGTACTAAAACTCACCAAATTACTTTCACTAGACATTCTGTCGTCTCTGATCATCCATTGCACCTGTATGGCTCACATATCACAGAATATGATATGGTCAAGTTTCTCAGCTTCTGTTTGACCGTTGGTTATCCTGGAAACCTCACATTACCTCTCTGAAGGTATCTTGTCAAAGCTGGCTGAAAATGGAAGTGCAGACCTGGGGTTTAATGGAATTAGTAAACCCCTTGGGTAGAAATTAAAATGGAATTCTCTCATCTGAGGCATGAAGACAGATTGTTTAAACTAACTGAAAACAGCGTAATATATTCACAAGGTGAAGGCACAGAATGCCTGATCGTACAACTCTCCTTTGACTACATTCAGCCCTAATTTATCGAAACTTAATTATGGCGACCAGATATATTCAGCAGCCTCTCCTGCAACTCTTTCTAGCCTTAATCCCATCCATCACTAGGGATTACATTTATGCCCTGGTGCTTTTCACTCTTCACCAGTTAATCACGGGTTCTAACCCCACCCATGGTATGGTTTGGATACTCGTGTTCTTTATTTGTTCGTTGCCCGTTTACTCCGTCCCTTTTCTCTTTGCCTACATTTGCTCATCTTCTCTTCATTTACAACCTTTCTATGTTCATGTAGCATCTCACTTTTCCCTACCTCTTTGGGAAGTTCCGACAGTTCGTGTCTGTTCTTTTCCACTGCCATGCACGAAAGCTCAACTGCCTATGGTGGCTTCTCACTCTCATTTTCTTAACCACTTCCAATTTCATTCTCATGCCATCGCAGTGTACACTGATGGTTCCAAGTCTTCTGACGGTGTCGGATTTGCAGCAGTCATGCGAGGGCATTTATTATCCTCGGCTAGCATTTTTACGGCTGAACTGTATGCCATTCTCGTAGCACTTATCTGTATTGCATCAATGCCTGTGTCACCATTTGTGGTCGTTTCAGACTCCCTTAGTGCTTTACGGGCTATGAGAAAATTTGATACACATCCCCTGGTTATGCTGTATCTCTAGCAAGCACAAAGATAATGTTTTTTGTTTTATCCCCGGTTATGTTGATGTACAGGGCAATGAATAGGCAGACATTGCTGTACGGTCAGCAGTACATGACCTCCCAGTTTCATATAGAGGTGTTCCATTCACACTATTTTGCTGTAATTGCTACCCATCTCCGCACCCGTTGGCAGCAGTGTTGGTCTGATCTGCTACATAAATTACATTCTATTAAACCAAGTAGTATAGGTTTCTGGCCATCTTCTTGTCATCAATGTCGAGGCTGGGAGACTACTATCTCCCATCTTCACATCGGCCACACTCGTCTTACAGGTATCTCTTGGAGAGGTGCCCTGTTCCACTCTGAGAATTGTCAGGTTCCAGTTTCTGTTAGCCATATTCTGTTGGACTGCCCAGAATTTACCTCCAAGGTTATCACTGCTCTAATGCCCTTACTGTACTTTCCCTTCTTGCTGATGGACCCTCCTTTAACCCACTCTCTCTTGTGATAAGTGATTTAAAAAATCAACGAGTTGAAAATTGAGACACTTATGCAACATATGAGAATCTTTATTGAGGAAAAGTTTTGCCACACAGTTGCTTCATCAATCCAATACAAATCAGAAGGGTGTAAGGAGAGGAGTAGTTTGAGGTAATCAGTCCCTCAGCCTGGAGTTGATGTGTTCAGTTCGTAAATCTTGTAGAAAGTACTGCATAGGACAGTAGACGTGACTTATAAACTGTAATCAGGTGAGGCAAAGCAGAAAGTGAGGTCATAGTGGTACCATCCACTAGTCGAAGTAGGTCTTCGTCCAAAGGTTGGACAAGGTTGAAGAATTCTTTGTATCAAGATTCCATGATGGTGCAGTGTCTGATGGTATCACTATGACCCCACCTTCTCCTGCTTCGCCTCACCTGACTACAGTTTATAAGCCACGTCTACGGTCCTATGCTGTACTTTCTACAAGATTGATGGACTGAACACATCGACTCCAGGCTGAGGGACTGATTACCTCAAACTCCTCCTCTCCTTACACCCTTCTGATTTGTATTGGATTGATGAAGCAACTGTGTGGCAAAACGTTTCCTCAATAAAGATTCCCATATGTTGTGTAAGTGTCTCACTCTCTTGTTGATTGACAGCAACTGATTTACTTCACAAACTCTGATGATGCCTCTAACACTCACATTATTATGAAAAAGGAAGTGTTAAACCTACAAGGGTCATACAGCACTGCTGGGCAGGAAAGGATGGAGGGGTAATGGGTAGTAGGAGGGAAAGGGATGATTATTAGGTCATGGAGTGCAGCAGGGCAGTGGATAGTGCAAGGGTAGAGGGTAACAAGAGATTGAGGAAGATTATTATTATTATAATCAAAAAGAAGCGCTAAGCCACAAGGACTATACAGCTTGAGGAAGAAAGGACTGTGAGGAACACTCCTCACAGCCCTTTCTACCTCAATCTCTTGCTACCCTCTACCCCTGCACTATTCACTGCCCTGCTGCACTCCATGGCCTAATAATAATCCCCCTCCGTCTTGCTACCCAATACCCCTGCACCCTTCCCTGACTTGCTGCAGTATCTGACCCTTGTAGATTTAGCGCTTCTTTTTTATATAATTTAGGCAATAAAACTCTTTATTATAAAGGTGATCAATATTTTTATTCTTGAATTATTTATACATGTATATACAGTACAATACTAATACTAATTTTTATATAAACACATGAACAAGATGATAATTGCACAACATCTGCAGAAAAAGTCCACAATCATTACACATATTCCAGAAAATACCACAAATTAGTGTATAAATTACACATTGTAAAATAAATAAATTAAGTTTAAAAAAAAAATGAAATTTATTATATTAGAAAAGTATTATTATTATTACATAATGAATTCAGCCCCCATGCATCACAAAATGCCAAAAGGCTGAGAGATGCTAATGACTATACGAAGTAAAGCAACAAAGGAATATTATTATTACAATCAAAACTAAGTGCTAAACCCACAAGGGTCATACAGCATAGCAGAAAAATAGACAAGCTAGCAAGGAATGCAAGAGTTGGTGTAACATCCATTTCAATCAAAACCAGAGTGTATCTTCACTCAAGAGTAGGGCTTTTTTGAGAGCAGGTATGTAACAGTGCCCAGGCACTGGACACTTTGAAAAATAAATATTTTTGTGACGTCCATTTTTGCCTAGCACTGAGTGACCCCCATTCTGGTGCTGAATGACCCACTTGGGTTTAACACTTCTTTTTTTCTTTAATATAATAATGTGATCATTACTATACTGTCTACCAACTACGGTACTTCGTGGTTATTGCAAGTACAGTATACTCTAAATATGAGAGAAATTCTCAGTATTAGTTTTTACAAATCAAGTTATAACAAAAGCAAAATTTACATTTCAAAGGCACAATTGTCAATGCAGAAATGACCCTTGGAAAATAATGAAAGGATGATCTGCATGGCATAACATATACATGAAAGGATGATCATACTAGGTAGGTAATTACAGGCCATAGCTGCTCCCTTGCCTTTATACAAGCTTTGACCACTACTTTTGATCTTCATATCTGATTTCTTATTCTTCTTCATTTACAACATATTGTATGATAATGCTACTTGTGTATTAGGTTTCAATGAATAATTTCAAGTTAACTAATAGTTACAGTGAACACAAGAAAGTTCCACAGAATGACATTTATCTAGCCTGGACATTTCATGCTGACTTAAGATCTCATTCATTATACATTCTAGTTGTGATAAGTTTATAAAGTTGCATTGCTCAATGGTTCAGAATTGTAACAAAGGCATTCCAGTACAGGTCCACTAATGTTTTGGTAGATAATATCATATCCAATCTCACCAGATTGTTCAGAATATGAATTAAAAGAATCACTAGGAAATATATGTAGATTAAATTAATCATGAACACAAATTTAGTTCAATATGCCAATAACCACAAAAATATAAAGTCAAGCTTCATTTAAAATATTTTTAACAATTTTATTAAAAAAAAAAAAAACATTTCTAATAAGGTTATCAGTAAACTCTGCTTCCTTAGAAGCAGAGTTTACTGATAGAAATGAAAACTGAATAGTACTTTAGTTATCCTGGACCACCACCAAGTCACAAGTGAGAAAAAACAAAGCCATTAATAAGGATGCAAATGTCAGGTATAATTGTGCATGACCTCTGCCCTCTTCCTCTCACATTTGCTTCATATTCCTACTGTTTAATCATCTTCCACCTCTCTTGTGACTTCACAATGGAATGAAGTGTCATCTAGCCATAGTGTAGTGACTTCCTTTAGTAACACAGTAATATTCCAGGAGGTCATACAAATCCATAACTTACAAAAACACTCATGACTGTCAGATTAAGGAAAATTCCTGGTTTGGCTAAACTTGTCATATTTCAAAACATAAGAAGTAAAATACTGTACATCTGTACTTTATGTGAAATATAATTTGCTTTATGACTGGTGTAATGGCTACCTCACTATGCACAAGACCTTCAAAAATAAATGAAGAATTTTTGTTCTGTGAATAACAAAATTTTACTTGTACTATAAAATGAAACACTATAAAATCAAGTTAGCATAAATTACATTTTATGTAATCAAAGGAAGCCTTTTAAATACAAAAGCTTTATGCTCATGAAGAAGCTATTTATTTGGCATCACTTCAATTTAAAGAGTACACTTAAGAAATACAAGTTACATTACCAAACTCCATTGTGACTACATACTTGAGTAAAAAATACAGTTCAAGACCATATTACTCAAATAATTTTATCTTCATCTGACACTATGTATATTAAACTGCTTATCAAAATATAATTAGTCTGCTATGAACAATATAAGCAAAAAACAAATTATGCACTGACCTTGGCCAAAAATCTAAGGTGTATAGGTATTTAAAATGAAAAAAAAAAAATGGTAAAAAAAAAAAAGGGGGAAAACTGTATTACAACCCTGTAAACATTAAATTATTATTGTTAACTCCTAATCAGCTAATATATATTTATTGGAAGTGTATTTTTCTGAATTGGATAAAACTTATGATTTTATGGCATGTTGAAGTTGGTGAAAAAATTATCAATCATTGGCAACAGCAGCATAAATACACTGGTGATATTCAAATTTTACTGTTTATTGTCACCAATATATGATTATTTTTGTTTTTTAATTGCTTTTAATGCTTAACACTATGTACACTGGTTTCTTTTATGTGTGTGTGTGTGTTATATATATATATATATAATATATATATATATATATATATATATATATATATATATATATATATATATATATATATATATATATATATATATATATATATATATATATATATATATATATATAATTATATATATATATATAATATACACATCTTCTTTCAACGTACCAGCCGTATCCCACCGAGGTGGGGTGGCCCAAAAGGAAAAACGAAAGTTTCTCCTTTCAAATTTAGTAATATATATACAGGAGAAGGGGTTACTAGCCCCTTGCTCCTGGCATTTCAGTCACCTCTTATGACACGCATGGCTTACGGAGGAAGAATTCTGTTCCACTTCCCCATGGAGATAAGAGGAAATAAACAAGAACAAGAACTAGAAAGAAAATAGCAGAAAACCCAGAGGGGTGTGTATATTTATGCTTGTACATGTATGTGTCCTAGGTAGTAGGTTGGTAGACAGCAACCGCCCAGGGAGGTACTACCGTCCTGCCAAGTGAGTGTAAAACGAAAGCCTGTAATTGTTTTACATGATGGTAGGATTGCTGGTGTCCTTTTTTCTGTCTCATGAACATGCAAGTTTTCAGGTACGTCTTGCTACTTCTACTTACACTTAGGTCCCACTACACATACATGTACAAGCACATATATACACACCCCTCTGGGTTTTCTTCTATTTTCTTTCTAGTTCTTATTCTTGTTTATTTCCTCTTATCTCCATGGGGAAGTGGAACAGAATTCTTCCTCCGTAAGCCATGCGTGTTGTAAGAGGCGACTAAAATGCCGGGAGCAAGGGGCTAGTAACCTCTTCTCCTGTATATATTACTAAATGTAAAAGGAGAAACTTTCGTTTTTCCTTTTGGGCCACCCCGCCTCGGTGGGATACGGCCGGTGTGTTGAAAGAAAGACATGTATGTGTAGTGTGACCTAAGTGTAAGTAGAAGTAGCAAGACATACCTGAAATCTTGCATGTTTATGAGACCGACAAAAGACACCAGCAATCCTACCATCTTGTAAAACAATTACAGGCTTTCGTTTTACACTCACTTGGCAGGACGGTAGTACCTCCCTGGGCAGTTGCTGTCTACCAACCTACTACCTATATATAAATATATATATATATGTATATATATTATATTTTTTTTAACATGTCAGCCATTTCCCACCGAGGCATGGTGACCCAAGAAGAAGAAAAAAACTCAACACTTTCACCATCATTCACACATAATCACTGTCTTTGCAGAGGTGCTCAGATACGACAGTAAGGAAGAGTGACTGCAGAAAAACTTAAAAAGATTTCACCAGCCAGATCCTGCAACCTGGCAAATTCACTTGTTTATATGTCACTCCAAACAGCCAATATCCCAAACCCCTCCTTTAAAGTGCAGGCATTGTACTTCCCACCTCCAGGATTCAAGGTGTTTTGCACTTCAAACATGGGAAAATGCTTAGCCTGACACTGCTCCACTTTGATTATACAGTACAGCCTCTCGTTTAATAACGACTCAGACTTACAATAGGCTCTCTGACCAGTATGTATGCCTAGATAATGTATATTAGAGCTGATTTCCTCTATTCTGTTTATTACAATGCACAGTACACCACTGTATAAACATTTAAAAATATACCAGAAATGTTATAAATGGTGCAAAGGTGACATTAAAATATCAAAGGTGGTTGACACAAACCCACAACCATTATAGTATGCTCCTCACTTGGCGACGAATTCATTTAGTGACGTGGTCTTGGGAATGGAACTCCATCGTTAAGTGAGGAGAGGCTGTATATATATGGAATTGTTTTTATTTCTTTTTTTTTTACTATTTTCTTGTTCTAATGCTATATACAACAAATATTACGGTTTCAGTGTAATATTCCTGAAAACATGGAAATAAGTTGCACTGTTTGACTTTACGGTATTATATTGGGTTAAATACATATACATTAAGTCTCCATGGGAAAATGGAACAGAATTCTTCCTCTGTCAGCCATGCATGTTGTAAGAGGTGACTAAAATGCCGGGAGCAAGGGGCTAGTAACTCCTACTCCTATATACATTACTAAATTTAAAAAAAGAAACTTTCGTTTTTCTTTTTAGGTTATCTTGCCTTGGTGGGATATGTCTGGTTTGTTGAAGTATACTTAGTATGATTTGTGGCTGAATTCCACTGTTAGTATCATGAAACTGTAATAAATTTGGAATGAATAAGTCGCCTTCATGCCACTTCCACACCCTGTTGGCTAGCAGAGAAGTTAGTGGTGGAACAACAGCTCCTGGTTTCAATAGTTACATATGGTAGTTAGGCATACTAGTATGTAAGACACAGACATCACCTGTGTAGTTAACCATGATGCACTGTGTGGATCCTCTTGGCCTTAGACTTTTTTCATATGTATGAATAGACTGTAGAAGACCCAAAGTGTTGTGGTCAAAAATATTGGCAGGTGGCAAATTTGAAGGTATGAAAAATTGTGCGTCCTAGTACGTTAGACACTGTTTAAAGGTTAATGGGTTCCCCTACTTCGGTGGAATACAGTTGGTAAAAAAAAAAAAGATTCCAATATTAGGCAAAGTACTTCTTAAAATATTCCACTCCCTAACAAAAAATTATTATGAAACTTTCCTCTTAGAGGACCTCAAGCTGTTTATTATGCTGCATTTCCCCAAGACACCCAAAGTTCAACGTAACCCTACAACTATTGTCAAAACAATCCATAATAATAAATAATACAGTATAAAGATAATGCTTACTTAAATACTGTATTAAGGATAATGTGCAGATTGGTGTACATTGCTCATACAAGCACTGTCAAGGAAAAGAGGAGCACATCTTTCCCATTAATGGTGGAACTCTTACTTGCACTAGTGCAGCTTGATCTTCATCTTTCCATCACCATCTTTTTATTCACTTGTACATGCCTTTTCATGTCTTCTCATTTTCGTGTACTAGTTAATAACAATTCTCATTCAACTTTCTGAGTGCCAGAAGTGACTCACATCTGTAGTAACTATGCCAATGTCTCCAGTGCTCCAGCATGAGCCTTTCTAATACTTAGTCATCTGAAATGTCTTGAGAAGGTTCTACATTTGATTAAAATAAGTACAAGGGTGGGGAAATCACCAAAGGGAACAATACATTAAAGATGTAAGTAGTTACAATATATTGTGAAAATAACAGAAATAGTTTCAGCAAAAAATAAAAAAAAAAAATCCACAGTATCCTATTTTTACTATAACTGATGACATTATACTTTAAACACTTAATTTGCTGGAATGATAGCTGGTCATTCCAGCAAATAACTGGAATGATGAACTATCTTAGCGAGACAAAAACTCACCCTGAAAGATAATTACAATCACCAAGTGCCAAGTGGATTTCCTTTACAACAAAATTTCAAGAGTTGTCTCAGATTACAGTGGAACCTCAAATATCGAACTTAATCCGTTCCAGGAGTTAGTTCTAAATTCGAAAAGTCTGAAAAGCGAAGCAATATTACCCATAAGAAATAATGGAAATAAAATTAATCCGTTCCAGAAACACAAAAATATTCACACACAAAAAAATACATTTTATAGAGATTAATTATAGTTCTACATACAACAAATATAGTGCTCAATTATGTATTAATAAATTTAAATAAACATATAAAATAACATTTTACTTACCTTTATTGAAGATTGGTGATGGTATCTGGAAGATAGGGAGGAGGAGAGAGGGAGTTGGGGCTAGTGTTTGGAAGGAGAATCCCCCTCCATGAGGACTTCAGGTATCAAAGCCCTCTCTGGGGTTACTTCCCTTCTGTCTTTTAATGCCACTAGGACCAGCTTGAGAGTCACTGGACCCCTGTCTCACAAAATAACTGTCCACAGTCCTCTGTTTCTGGTGCCTCTTAAAGATTTCCCTAAAATTGGACATGGTTCTGTCACTGAACTTGTTGCAAAGATGGCTTGTTTCACCTTGCTCAGGGTGGTACTTCTCCATAAATATTTGGACATCATTCCACTTGGACATCATTCCATTTCTGTATTATTTCCTTCTTCACATCTATGGTGTTTCTCACTTTCTTTACCACAGGGGTACCACTAGCAAGTTTCTTTGGGCCCATTGTAGCCTATTTCACAGTCCCACAAGCACTAAACACAATGAAATAATCGTGAAATGTTTGAATGAGAGCGCAGGTTAGTGTTCACTCAAGCATCAACAAAACCAGACTGGCTCACAGCGCCTGTGTGGAGATGCAGACAGAGTGGGCTGCCGGACAGGTCTGGTACCTGGCGATTCGAAAATAGGGGCGAGTTCGATAATAGGGACAAAGTTGGTTCGAAAAAAGGGTTCTATTTTCGAAGAGTTCGATAAGCAATACGTTCGAAATATGAGGTTCCACTGTACATTTTATTTAGAAGTCTCCAATTAAATTAAAGAAAGATTTGTATAAAGTATATAAAGCAAAATAAGTAAAAACACTCTTGTGAATAAACACCTTTCTCTGTCTGCTTAATACTAATAATATAATGAATTACTTTAATATGTATTTTGAAGAGGGCATAATTCCATTCTGCAATGGAAGTGCAGAATGGAATTATGCTCTTTTAACCTGTCAGCCACTGATAAAATATAGTAAGTCATATTCTGCAACAAAATCAAGTCTGTATGAGTTTATATATTATGTTTGCATACATAAAGTATTCATGGCCCCTTACCAAGGTGGTTCAATACTAATTCCTGAGAGCAGCAAGCCGTCTGCTGAGCTGATCTTCATGGTCAGCAGTGCGTTCACCAGCAGTAAGTGTTCCTGCTGGCACAGACTGAGCATTGACTTGATCCATCACTTCAAGACCTGCCTCATCTGCCACCTGCTGGATAAGAGCATCCACAGCCTCTTTTGGGGTGCTTAATGTTGTAGCTGCACCCATGCTATCTTCTAGTACCTAATTATAAGACAGAGTGTCTGATTAATAATACTTGAAATAGTATTTTGGTACCTTTAGCTATATTTAAATTAAAATGGAAATTAAAAAATATTTTTTTTAAACAAAACAATATATCCTCCAATAAAATATATGCAATACATAGTATATACTGAGAAGGAAGACAGGTCTCCTAGGAGGACATGGTAAATTCAAGAAAGTGTGCTAGGGAACAATTATACCTATATACTTTCACTAGTTCCATTATAATATATATTTTAACCCTTAAACTGTCCAAGCAAATCTACATTCATATACGTAGTGCTCCAAAAGTAGATCTACGTTTTTTTACATATTTTCAAAAAAAAAAAAAAAAAAAAGTAGATCAAATTTTTTTTACGTTTTCAAATGTAAAAAAAAAAGATCTACTTTTTTTTTACATACTTTCAAATGTTGAAAAAACATAGATCTATGTTTGGACAGTTTAAGGGTTAAGTATAGAAATTTGTTACTTACTGATGTTCTCACATCCAAGTCCTCAAACTGTGACTCAAATTTATCCATAATGGAAGAAACTTTCTGCAAGTCCATAGCATTAAGGGCTTGATCCAAAGCTTTTACCACCGACCCCATGTTTTTGGTGACCCCTTTCATAGCCATTGCTGATTGGATCCTGAATAAAAGGTATAAAGAAGACAATCAAGAATCAAAGTCCTAGAGACAAAAAAATAAATAAACAATGGAATTACACAAATGATATCTCTGTTAGTAGAGATAAGGAAATTAGGAATTCATGTCATGTAATGAATGTCATTCTTACTATAGTGCAGTGATGCCAATAAGAGGCTCTTGATCCAGGGAAATAAACCATCTGTCATCCCATCAGTTCCAGCTGCTTTACCCTCTTTCATTCTACCTAATGCTTTAAGCACCTCCACCACACTCACATCTGGCTCTTCTTCAATACTAAATGATGTTGTGCCTCCCTCTCATCAACATTTAACAGTTCCTCAAAATATTTCTGCCATCTTCCCAATACCTCCAACTCCCCATCTACTAATTCCCCTATTCTGTTTTTAACTGTCAAATCCATTTGTTCCCTAGGCTTTCTTAACTTATTTATCTCACTCCATAAATTTCTTATTCTCAGCAAAATTTGACGACAGCACCTCTCCCACTTTATCATTTGCTCTCCTTTTGCAGTCTCTCACCACTCTCTTTATACTCTCCATATACTCCACCCATCTTTATCATTTTTGCTTTGTAGAAACTTCTCATAAGCAAACTTTTTCTCCCTTATCACACCCTTTACCTCATCATTCCACCAATCACTTATCTTTCCTCCTGCACCCAGCCTCCTATATCCCCAAACTTCTGCCCTGCATACTAACACTGCATTTTTAAAACTATCCCACCGTTCTTCAACCCCCCCACTACCTATACTCTCACTAGCCCACCTCTCTTCCAATAGTTGCATATATCTCACCCTAACTTCCTCCTCCCATAGTTTATAAACTTTTGCCCCTCTCTTACTTGCTGCTGCCATTTTCCTTTTGCTCCATCTACCTCTTACTCTAGCTGTAGCTACAACTAAATAATGATTCAATATATCTGTTGCCCCTCTATAAACATGCACATCCTGAAGTCTACCCATCAACCTTTTATCCACCAATACATAATCCAACAAACTCCTTTCATTACACGCTATATCATATCTTTTATACTTATTTATTCAATTAAAAGCCCCCATAGCCTCCCAAACTTACCTAATACTCCCTCTACAACAGTTTTACCCACTGGCATTTAGGTCCTCCACCACAAGTATTCTCACACTTGGTTCAAAACTCTTCAAGCACTCAATGCCTCCCAGAAGCTCTCTCTCTCCTCTACACTTCTCTCTTCTCCAGGTGCATAAACACTTACTATAACCCACCTTTCACATCCCACTCTAATTTTACTCTACATAATCCTTGGATTTATACATTTATATTCCTTATTTTTCTGCCATAAATGATCCTTCAACATTATTGCTACCCTTTCCTTAGTGGTAACTCTACTGGAAACCCCTGACCTAATTCCATTTATATCTCCCCAGTGAAACTCTCCTACCCCCTTCAGCTTTGTTCTACTAAGAGCCAGGGCATTCAGCTTCTTTTCATCCATAACATCCACAATCATCTCTTTCTTATCTGCATTTCATCCATGCACATTCAGACACCCAACTTAAAGGTTTTCTTATTATTATTCTTAGTAAGGGGTTACTAGCCCATTGTTCCAGGCATTTTAGTTGACTTTTACAACACGCATAGCTTATGGAGGAAAGATTTTCATTCCACTTCCCTATGGAGATGAAAGGAAATAAGAACAAGAACCATTAAGAAAAAAATAAAAGAAACTTCAGGTGAGTGTATACATGTGTACATGCATGTGTAGTGTGACCTAATTGCAAGTAAAAGTAGCAAGATATACCTGTTATCTTGTGTTCATGAGACAGAAAAAAAGATACCAGCACTCTTACCATCATGTAAAATAAATACAGGTTTACATCTTACACTCATATGGCAGGACAGTAGTACCTCCCTGGGTGACTGTTGTCTACCAACCTACAACCAGTAGTAAATTTATGGCATTTATATGGAAAAAATCTATAAAGATTTATAAAAAAAATTCCATACAAAAGCCATATTTTGCTTCATAAAGTTGTATGACTCAGTGAGTTTAGTACTTGGTTTTGATTATAATTTGCTTCATAAGTTACCTAACACATGATTTACAGGATGGTGTTGGGTAAAACATACATGTATTACTAGTGAACAGGTGATAAAATAAGTGTTATTACAGGTACACTTGATGCCATGTGGCAATGGCAAAATTCTATCATCTTTTTTAAGGAATTTCAGTTTAATTACAATATTTCATTTCATAACCTTACTTAACACAAGAATTACATGCTGTATACAGTAGACTGTTATATTACACAGTTTTATTTGGCATGTTTGGTTACCTGGAGTTTACCTGGAGAGAGTTCCGGGAGTCAATGCCCCCGTGGCCCGGTCTGTGACCAGGCCTCATGGTGGATCAGAGCCTGATCAACCAGGCTGTTACTGCTGGCTGCCCGCAATCCAACGTATGAGCCACACCCCGGCTGGTCAGGTACCGACTTTATGTGCTTGTCCAGTGCCAGCTTGAAGACTGCCAGGGGTCTATTGGTAATCCCCCTTATGTATGCTGGGAGGCAGTTGAACAGTCTCGGGCCCCTGACACTTACTGTATTGTCTCTTAACGTGCTAGTGACACCCCTGCTTTTCATTGGGGGGATGCTGCATTGTCTGCCAAGTCTTTTGCTTTCGTTGTGAGTGATTTTTGTGTGCAAGTTTGGTACTAGTCCCTCTAGGATTTTCCAGGTGTATATAATCATGTACAGTGGACCCCCGAGTTTCGGCAGCCTCGACTTTCGCGAAATTCGACCTTCGGCGAGTTTTGTTGGGAAAAATTTGGCCTCGAGTTTCGTGAAAAAACTCGTGTTTCGGCGACTGTCCAGTACCCGTCCGCCCGTCACCACGCACACAAAGCCAGTCTCCCATGCCATTCACGCTCAGTGTGCCATTGTTTACCAACATGTGACCATCACCCCGCGGGTTCATACAATACATTTCATAATAATCCATTGTTTTTTGTGCTTGCAACTGCTAAATAAGTCATTATGGACCCAAGGAAAGCTAGTGCAAGTCCTTTGGTAAATAAAGAGAGTGACAGGGATGTGGAAGAGTTGGAGGAGGACCACAGGGAAGAGCTAACCACTGACGAACTGCAAGAGCTTCAACTGGAACAGCATCAGACCACAGCTGAGGAACTTGCTTCAGAGGAGGAGGAAGAGGGAGTGGATGAGGTGCCTTCTTCAGTGATTAAGGACATGTGAATGTGGAATGAGTTGCAAAGTTTTGTTGAAAAGTATCACCCTGACCAAGCTGAAACAAGCCATATCTGCAACATGTACAATGACAGTGTTGTGTCCCACTTCAGGGAAATCTTAAAGAAACGCCAGAAAAAGACCTCTCTGGATAGATATTTTGTGCGCCAGGGGTCCAGTGACTCTCAAGTTGTTCCCAGTGGCATTAAAAGAAGAAGGGAAGTAACCCCAGATAAGGACTTGCTACCTGAAGTCCTAATGGAAGGAGATTCTCCTTCCAAACAATAGTGTACACCTTCCTCCTATCACCTCCTCCCATCTTCCATCCACCCAGAAGTCTTCAGTAAAGGTAAGTGTAATGTTATTATTATTTATTTTAAATGCATGTACTTGATTTCTGATTGCTTTCATTATGTAAATCTTTATTTAATTTGAAAAAATATTTTATTTTAATATTTTTGGGTGTCTGGAATGGATTAATTTTATTTCCATTATTTCTTATGGGGAAAATGGTTTCGAGTTTCGTGAATTTCGACCTTCAGCGGGCTCTCTGGAACTGATTAATCACGAAACTCGGGGGTCCACTGTATCTCTCTTGCCTGCGTTCCAGGGAATACAGGCTCAGGAACTTCAAGCGCTCCCAGTAATTGAGGTGTTTCATCTCCGTTATGGGTGCCATGAAGGTTCTCTGTACATTTTCTAGGTCAGCAATTTCACCTGCCTTGAAAGGTGCTGTTGGTGTGCAGCAATATTCCAGCCTAGATAGAACAAACGACCTGAAGAGTGCCATCATGGGCTTGGTATCCCTAGTTTTGAAGGTTCTCATTATCCATCCTGTCATTTTTCTAGCAGCTGCAATTGATATAATGTTATGGTCCTTGAAGGTGAGATCCTCCGACATGATCACTCCCAGGTCCTTGACGTTGTTTTTTCGCTCTATTTTGTGGCCGGAATTTGTTTTGTACTCTGATGAAGTTTTGATTTCCTCGTGTTTACCATATCAGAGTAATTGAAATTTCTCATCATTGAACTTCATATTGTTTTCTGCAGCCCACTGAAAGATTTGGTTGATGTCCGCCTGGAACCTTGCAGTGTCTGCAATGGAAGACACTGTCATGCAGATTCAGGTGTCATCTGCAAAGGAAGACACGGTGCTGTGGCTGACATCCTTGTCCATGTCAGATATGAGGATGAGAAACAAGATGGGAGCGAGTACTGTGCCTTGTGGAACAGAGCTTTTCACCGTAGCCGCCTCAGACTTTACTCTGTTGACTACTACTCTTTGTGTTCTGTTTGTGAGGAAATTATAGATCCATCTACCAACTTTTCCTGTTATTTCTTTAGCACGCATTTTGTGCACTATTACGCCATGGTCACACTTGTCGAAGGCTTTTGCACTATTGAAAAATTGCGCCACAATTTTATACAACGCTTCATAAAATTAACTTAACACAGTTCAGTTTGCAGGAGGAAAAAAAATTTGGAGCATTGCCTGTGGGATATTTGTAATAAGGAAGGAAGGAAGGAAGGCCTGAAAAAGAGTGTATGCTCACCACAGGCTAGTTCCACAACTTTAAGTTGCATAATAAGTTACGTAATACGTATTAAGTTTTCTGGTGAAAGTGCTTCAGTTGAATATACAGCAGCAAGTACAGTTTGCAGGAGGAAAAAAAAATTGGAGCATTGCCTGTGGGATATTTGTAATAAGGAAGGAAGGAAGGCCTGAGAAAGTGTATGCTCACCACAGAAGTAATTTCCTGCTGAATTGCAGGAAATTACTTCTGAGGGTGGCTATGAGCCACATCAAGTGTTTAACGCTGACAAGTTTTTTGGAAGAAAATGCCAACAAGAACTTATATCAGTCAGCAAGAGAAAAGTGCACTGGGCTTCAGGTCAGCAAAGAATCACTTCACCTTGCTCCTTTGCAGTAATGAGTCAGGTGATTTCAAGTGTAAGCCCATGGTTATTTACAGCTCTAAGAATCTTCGTGCTTTGAAAGAAGTAGATAAAAACACCTTACCAGTAATTTGGAGGTCAAACCAGTCAGCATGGATGACAGAGGAAATATTTATTGACTGGTTTAAGTATCACTTTATTCCTGAAGTCAAGTTTTACCTACACAGCATTCAAAGCTCTCTTCATTCTTGATAATTCCCGTATTCATCCACAAGCTTTGCTGGATGTGGCCCCACATGTAAAAGTTGTATTTTTACTTCCAAATACATCAACTTTAATACAACCATTAGATCAGGGAGTTAAGTAATTCAAGTGTAACTACACAAAAAAATTATAAAAAAACTAGTTGTATCAATGGACTCTAACTCCAACCTAGCAGCACCAAGTTTCTGGAATAAATTTAACATTGCAGATGCCATCAGCTATGCTAAAAGTGCATGGAATGAAGTGCCCTGATCAACATTAACCCTTTGAGGGTTTTGGTCGTACTAGTACGTTTTACGCGTAGGGGTTTTTGACGTACTAGTACTCATAAATTCTAGCGGCCTCAAATCTAGTGGGAGAAAGCTGGTAGGCCTTCATATGAAAGAATGGGTCTATGTGGTCATTGTGCACAGTCTAAAAAAAATCCTGCAGCACACAGTGCATAATGAGAAAAAAAAAACTTTGACCATTTTTTTTAATAAATCAGCGACTTTGCAGTGTATTTTCGTATGGTATTTATTGTTGTATTCTAGTTTTCTTGGTCTCATTTTATAGAATGGAAGACATATTACAGAAATTGAGATGATTTTGACTGGTTTTACAATGAAAGGTGCCTTGAAATTGAGCTCAAAGTAGCAGAAATGTTCGATTTTTACCAAACTTCAAAAGTAAACAAATCGTGCCAAGCGTGCAATACACGTCAACTGGTGAGTCTAATATTCTTTTACAAGTGCACCAATAATATTTATACCATTTTTTACACTAATGCAGTAGTCTGCATAACAGTAAATCTTATATTTTTTGTGAGAATAAAAATTCAAAGTGGAAAGCAAAAGAATATAAGAGGGCCCTTGAGACGTGACTAATGACTAGAGGAAATGTCATTTTAGTGCCAGGAATGTCTTTCTTGTTTATTCTGGACCCTATTCGGAAATTGGCATCTTTTGAAATTTGTGTGAAATTGGCAAAATTGCTAAATTCTGACCACTGTACTGGATAGTTGAATTTATAAATGGGTGGTTTCTTGCACCCAGTCGATAGAAAAAATGGAGTTCTAGCGAAATATTCATGTTTTTTGTCGACTAGTACAGTGAAATTGGCCGAAAATGGGGCTCAAAGTGGGCAAAATCGCCGATGCGTTAACATCGCCGAGACCGCTAACTTTGCGAGAGCATAATTCCGTAAGTTTTCTATCAAATTTCAAACTTTTGGTGTCTTTATGATCGGGAAAAGATTCTCTATCTTTTCATAAGAGAAAATAAATTTTTTTTTTTTTAAATTTGGCCGACCCTGAGAACGAGTTTCGGAGAGGGCCTGTCGACCCTCAAAGGGTTAAATGCAGGCAGGGGAAAGTTATGGCCTTCTGTAGCTAATTCTTTCACTGTTTTTTCCTTGCTTGAGTCAGGTTCAGGAAATTGTTCAGCTGGCAAGGAGATTACCAGGTGATGGTTTTGAAGATATGAATGAAGATGTGAATGAGCTCTTAGAAGATGATGATGATAATGAAGACACGAGTTCAGAGGAAATGTTGGCAGAGCTCAATGCATACATACAAGGGATCCCCATAACAGAAGATGAAGAACCTGAAGAAAAACAGTTGACATAGCAGCAGTTCCATATTATTGGCAAAGTTGCAGACTTTTTTGCTGAAGAGGACCCTGGCAAATCTAGAAGCAGTGCTTTGAAACAAGATCTAGACCAGCTGATGATGCTTTACCATCAGCTGTATAATGTACTGTAGGGTAAAAGAGCCCAGAGATCCATTACAGAATTTATGCACACTCCAATGCAACCATCAACTTTTGTACCAGAACCTCTACCATCGACTTCTGCTGACAACCAACAACCATACACCTCAGCCCAGTAGGGCCAAACCATGCATCTCCACTCTTTTCACAATCACTCACAAACACCAGCACCCACAATTTAAAGGTAAGAAATACTATTATTTCTGTTGCGTTTGTGGTCTTAAGCAGTAAAAACGTAATATATCACGACAATGAACTACAATTACATATTCACTTTTATTTTTGTAAAATCTGTTGATCTAAAAAAAAGTTTGGCTTTTTGGGGGCTCCCTGGAATGTAACCCTATTTTTTTTCCATAAGTTCTTCAGTTAATCTAACATGGTTTTACCTAACACAGCATTTTCAGGAACATAACTACAGTGTAATATACAATAGTCTACTGTACGTACGTAAGGCATAATATAATTTTTCACAATTTGCACTATAATGTTTTGCTTGGAAATTTTCCCTGAAAACTTTCCTTAGATTTTCAGGTTCAGGTCTGGTGAGCAAACCCAAACTTTAGAAGGACCCTGATCAACTGAATTTCAATGTTCTACTTTAATACCAAGTGAAAATTTGATATTTTTTTTAGTACATCACTTACTCCCAGCTACCTTTCCAAAAATGCATGGACATCACAATTCAAATGGTCTACTGAATCTCAACATTCTTACCCATTATACAGAACTCAAATCTGGTTAAGCAATTTCTCTGAATACCTTTATAAATGTTACCTGGCTCATTCTCCCGTATCCTTTCAAATCCCAAAAATCAACCGTCTCTACTTCTACTGATCTTACATGCTCATATCTGTTTGCTGGATGCTGAAGTCCCTACAACTCAAAAAAAAAAAACAGAATTGCACATAAGTGGTAAGACCTACCATAAATGGAGCAAAACACAGGTCTGAAATAATCCAGAAACTAGTACACATAACACAGTTAACCTAAGATAAGGAGGCTATCTGAAGGAAAGGATATACGTATTCTAAGGAACAGGACATCAACACATCCACATAGAGAAAGTGACTCCTGAACTTTAAATCAATATCACCAACGTATAATTTTGAAAATTCTGAAGATTGTAAGGAAAATGTTGAGCCCCAAACAGAAAGGTAAGAGAGGATAATAAAAATGTGAGTCTTTGTAAGTGAATTAAGTAAAAGGAGGCAAGGAATAAAAGATAATAGGGTTGAGAAATTGTCAGGATTAGGTGACAGTGGAGCAACCATAAATTACAAATACACCTCATCCAAAGTAATTAAAGCTGTAGATATATAAAGGCTTTATTACAAGCAGGTGTTAAAAATAAAATCTAGACTACACAAGCCAAACATTCCAAATTATATTACCTGGAGTTTACCTGGAGAGAGTTCCGGGGGTCAACGCCCCCACGGGCCGGTCTGTGACCAGGCCTCCTTAGGTCAGTGTCCCAGGATGCGACCCACACCAGTCGACTAACACCCAGGTACCCATTTTACTGATGGGGAACATAGACAACAGGTTGAAAGAAACACGTCCAATGTTTCTACTCTGGCTGGGAATCGAACCCAGGCCCTCGCCGTGTGAAGCGAGAGCGTTAACCACCAGGCCACCAGAGCCCCTTTATTATTATGTCACATTTCTCACCTGGACTCAACAGCATCAATTTTTGATGCCATCCGCAAGTAAGAGAGCGATTCATTCTTCTTTCGTATTGAATTTTCAGCGTAAATTCTGGCACCTTCAACATTGCCCTGTTGAAGAGCTTTCCTAATCTTTCCTTCCTGAATCTGGAAAAAGTGAAACACATTCAACATAATTATATCCACTACAATTACCATTACTGGCCACCTGCTTCCCCAAATTAGTCCATTAAATAAAAGGCTTACTGTATATAATAAAACTCACTTTTAAGGTGCTAGAGCAGTGGTTCCCAAACTGGGGGTAAATTACCCCCTGGAGGTAATTTAATCATTTTTGGGGGGTAATGGAGGGGTGACAGAAAAAAAGTTATGAATTCTGAAAATCAAGAAAACAATGCGGTACCCGGTATGAGGATTATTGTTAACTTTGTCTTAGTATATAAAGTTGTAAAGTAAACCTATTATAAGTAAGTAATAAAGTTAAACCAAATAACAATAAACATCAAAAACTAATATACAGTATTAGAAAAGAAGAAATATATAGCTAAGTGTGTGGAAACCCAAAAGTATTTTGACAAGTATGCTTCAGGACAAAAGTCACTCAGTAGCCCAGATCGACCTGTCCAGTACGCGTCACTCACTTCCTGAGGCTGCCTCTATTTCACACTGTCAGTTTATCTGTGAGCATCAGCCGAGGTAGACATAAGCTGGTATGTATGTGTACTGCCCTGTGCAGTATATAGTTAGTATTTACCCACTGTTACTGTGAATTTGTAGCTATTATTAATTTTATATATAATGTATGTGTGGTTCTTACGTTTTCAATGGTTTTGCTAGGATTAGTAGAGTATGCGAGGCTGTATACGTTCACTGTAGTCTCGCGCTACACGGTGCTCTTGTGCTGACAAGCATGATACTTGCAGCCTGACAATTTTGAATGTATGCGTGTGTGCTTGCATCAGTGAACTTGTGTTAGCTGCCATGCGAGAAATTATGTACCTTGCGTTTTGCAGTGTATGCATGGATATTCTTCTTTTTCTGCAGATTGAACAAGAAAATGTCCAAAAAGCGCACCTACACTGACGCCTTTCTTCGCCATGGCTTTGTGAATTTAACTTCTGGTGGAGAGGATCGGCCACAATGTGTTGACAAATGAAAGCCTCAAGCCATCAAAACTCTCAGCTCACCTCCAGAAGTGCCATCCAAATCTTCAAAATAAGGATCAGGCTTATTTTCAGCGCCAGGCTGTAGCACTGAAGAATATCCAGTTCGGCTCATCTGGAATTCAAGCCCAAAAGCTTCAAGCTGCGGTCGAAGCATCCTACTGTGTTGCATATAAAATTGCCGAACAACAGAAATGCCACACCACTGCAGAGAATCTGATTATGCCTTGTGCATACAAGATGGTAAGCAAGGTATGTGGGGAGGATCAAGCGAAGAAACTGAGTGTCATATCTCTATCAAACAACACCATCCGCCGACGAGTCGATGACATGGTATCAGATATCCTGTCCCAAGTTACAACAGAGATCAAGGAAAGCTCATATGGCAAATTCTCCTTGCAATTTGATGAATCGTGTGACGTAGCCAGTTGTGCTGTTCTCCTTGGGTTCGTCCGTTACGTCCACCAGGACAAGATCAAAGAAGAGTTCCTATTATGCGAGGATCTGCTGACAACCACAAAGGGAGAAGATGTCTTCAATATCATCAACAGTTTCTTTACCAAGAATGGATTGGATTGGAACAGCGTTCAACAGGTAGGAAACGATGTTTATATAAAGTCTAAATTAGTATAAATACAATGAATTACACGGCATATAGTCATATACAGTTTTATTTATTGTACAAGTAACTGTAGTGTAGCTAATATTTTGTACATGATTCACACAAAAAATATCGTGCCTGTCGTACTGAAATACTCAAGTACCGAAATAATTAATTAAAACCATATAATTATAACGCAAAAGATAAGTAACAATGACTAACTGACGCAGTCTATAATAATTTTTCTTTTTATTCCAGGTCTCCGTCGATGGAGCACCGTCGATGATGGGTGCTCATCGTGGATTACGGGGCCTCATACAAGCTATCAATCCAGAAATTTCTGTAGATCACTGCATCATTCATCGGTACTCTCTTGGATTGAAAAGCCTGCCTGGTAATCTGAAGTTAGTGTTTGAAGATGTGTTGAAAATCGTCAACTTCATCAAGTCCAGTTAGTTTAATATGTTTAATATGCACCCCATACCCATCCTGTGGGCGGTAGTCAAAAGATTACGGCCGAAACACGACTGTCATTGATGCCCATCACACTGTGACTGCATTTCTGGGGAAACTGAGACTCTGGATTCGGCGCTTGGAGAAAGGAGTGATCGCCCAGTTTCCCACCCTAGACCAGTTTGTTGAGGAAAATAGTCATGATACTGGATCACTTCTACAGACCATCAACAAAGAAATGAGCGACCATTTGAAGGGGCTTGAAACAAGCATGCATCACTACTTTCCAGAGAGTGACCAAGAAACAGCCACTCTTCAGTGGATCATTCATCCCTTCTCTGTACCTGATGATGCCATTCATGATGATGATTTCCCTGCAAAAGAGGAGTGGATCACAATGCGAGCCAATGAAGCCTTGAAAATCGAATTCCAAAACCAAAATGCAGATTCCTTTTGGATTTCACGACTACCTGACTCGCCAACTCTGTCCAAGAGAGCCTTGAAGTTGTTGGTATCATTCTCAACAACGTATCTGTGCGAGAAGAGCTTCTCAACTGTGCTGGGTATGAAAACAAAAAAGAGGACTCGCTTGAATGTTGCAAACGATGCCAGGCTGGCACTTTCAACCACGAAGTCAAGAATTCCTAAACTAGCTTCAAGTATGTAACTCCATCCATCCCACTGATGTTCTTGACATCTTTGGTAATAGTCATTAGAGATGCACAATGTTCAAATACAATAAATAAAAGAAAATATCTCAAGTGTTTTAATTTAGCCATATATATCAATAATAACAACATTTTGTGAAAGGGGTAACATGCTTTATGTGGCATGTTAAATTGGGTAACAAGCTGAAAAAGTCTGGGAACCACTGTGCTAGAGTGTACAGTACTAATATATATGTACACCCTTTTTAGGTAAAGTATACATGGTACTGTAGTTACTTGGTGGGAACAGTAAATGATAATGCTGTACATAGTTTTTGTAAGCATATACAGTACTGTACAGTACTGTATATGCTTTGCAGAAAAATAATAAATAATCGATCCTTTATATAGTACTGCTACCCAGGATCATTAACAGATACAGCATTAATCAGAGGGGCAGTGCCAGAATTTCTGTATTGTGGGCTTAGGGGTGGCTATGCAGTTGGAGGGGGTCCCAGGAGACCTGTTTTGAAGCAGTTATTATTATTTCTATTTTATTTTGGCTCAGGGAATTTTGGAGCGCTGAAAACCCCATTGGTGCTGCCCTGGCAATAATACGTACATTTAAAATGGTGCCATGTATTAAAAATCATTGTCATTGACAAAATGAAATGATACCCATATCTGAAAAACCATCATCATTCCCAAAATTAAAAAGCAGTCAAAATAAATACCTTTTGGTCCTTCTCTGCCTTCTTAGAAAGTCTCTCCATTTGTTTCCCACAAAATTTCAGCTGGAACATACAGTCTGAAATACCAAGAACATAATAATTACAGCACAGGGGGCCCTGATGAAAACAAATTACATAATATGATGGTCACTAGTCGTGGTTTTGAAACAAGTAGACAGAATAAACCAAAATAAGTTCACAGGCTGTAATGAACTGTTTTAAAGGAGTCTTAAAATATGCAAGGAGGAACTTATTACTAGGTATTCTCTTCAATATATCTCTGCAAATAGTCATCATGCTACAGATTAAATAAGTTTATTCAGGTACATGTACACATAAATACAGTTACATAAATTATCATACACAGCATGTGTGTAGATTACCTAGGATAACCCAAAGAAAAAATGTCTAAGTGACTTACTTATTTCCACTGGGGTTCTTGGCCAATGTGATTCCTGTCTACAAACCAAGAGATAGGTCCCTATCATCTAATTAGCACCTACTCAATCTGACCTTAATAGTGAGCAAATTATTATAAATCATTTTATAATAATAATTTTCATTCTCATGAAAACCATAAAAATGCTGAGGATTGCTGTACAGTGTTCTTAGCTTCATTCCTAAACATTATGTAGTAGTTCTTATCAATAATTGACCACTGTCTGGAAAATCTTCCAGCTCCTGCCCCCAACATCTTGCTCCTGGGGGATTTCAACTTAAGGCACCAAAAATGGAGGACTATAACAAATAATGTTGTTGCAGTGATAACACCAGGAGGCAGCTCAGATGAGAACTCACACACACACGAGCTTTTAAATCTCTGCACCTTAAACCAGCAAATAATAGAGCCTACAAGATTGGAGAATACACTGGACCTCATCTTCACTAACAATGATGATCTGATATGAAATGTCACCATATCAAAAACAATATACTCAGATCACAACATAATCGAGGTTCAGACATGTATGCGCGGAGCCACAGACCAACAAAATGTGATCAGTCATGAGGAAGCCTTCACCAAATTCAACTTCAATAACAAGAACATAAAGTGGGACCAAGTAGACCAAGTCCTAAATGATATAAGCTGGGAAGATAGCCTAAGCAACACAGACCCCAACTTATGCCTAGAACAGATTAACTCTGTGGCACTCGATATGTGCGCAAGGCATATTCCTTTAAGAAAAAGGAGGAGTAGATGTAAAATAAAGAGAGACAGGCGCTCCCTTTACAGGCGAAGGAAAAGAATAAAAGAGCAGCTAAAAGAGGCCAATATATCTGCAATGCGTAGGGAGACACTGGTCAGAGAAATAGCAGACATCGAACTAAAGCTTAAAGAATCTTATAGGAGTCAGAAATTGCAGGAAGAACTAAAAGCCATAAATGAAATCGAAAGAAACCCAAAGTATTTCTCTTCTTATGCCAAATCAAAGTCGAGAACAACATCCAGTACTGGGCCCCTACTTAAAAAAGATGGGTCCTACACAGATGACAGCAAGGAAATGAGTGAGCTACTCAAGTCCCAATATGACTCAGTTTTTAGCAAGCCGCTAATCACACAGAGTTGAAGATCTAAATGAATTTTTTATGAGAGAGCCACAGAATTTGGTAAACACAAGTTTATCTGATGTTATCCTGATGCCAAAAGACTTCCAACAGGCGATAAATGACATGCCCATGCACTCTGCCCCAGGGCCAGACTCATGGAACTCCGTGTTCATCAAGAACTGCAAGAAGCCCTTATCACGAGCTTTTACCATCCTATGGAGAGGGAGCATGGACACGGGGGTCGTCCCACAGTTACTAAAAACAACAGATATAGCCCCACTCCATAAAGGGGGCAGTAAAACAATAGCAAAGAACTACAGACCGATAGCACTAACATCCCATATCATAAAAATCTTTGAAAAGGGTCCTAAGAAGCAAGATCGCCACCCATCTAGATACCCATCAATTACACAACCCAAGGCAGCATGGGTTTAGAGCAGGTCGCTCTTGTCTATCCCAATTACTGGATCACTATGACAAGGTCCTGGATGCACTAGAAGACAAAAAGAATGCAGATGTAATATACGCAGGCTTTGCAAAAGCCTTCGACAAGCATGACCATGATGTAATAGCGCACAAAATGCGTGCTAAAGGAATAACAGGAGAAGTTGGTAGATGGTTCTATAATTTCCTGACAAACAGAACACAAAGAGTAGTAGTCAACAGAGCAAAGTCTGAGGCGGCTACGGTGAAAAGCTCTGTTCCACAAGGCACAGTACTCTCTCCCATCTTGTTCCTCATCCTCACATCAGACATAGACAGGGATATAAGCCACAGTGCCGTGTCTTCCTTTGCAGATGACACCCGAATCTGCATGAGTGTCTTCCGCTGAAGACACTGCAAGGCTCCAGGCGGACATCAACCAAATCTTTCAATGGGCTGCAGAAAACAATATGAAATTCAACGATGAGAAATTTCAATAACTCCGATATGGTAAAAGTGAGGAAATTAAAACTTCATCAGAGTGTAAAACAAATTCCAACCACACAATAGAGCAAAACACTAACGTCAAAGACCTGGGAGTGATCAAGTCGAAGGATCTCACCTTCAAGGACCATAACATTGTACCAACTGCATCTGCTAGAAAAATGACAGGATGGATAATGAGAACCTTCAAAACTAGGGATGCCAAGCCCATAATGACACTCTTCAGGTCGCTTGTTCTATCTAGGCTGGAATATTGCTGCACACTAACAGCACCTTTCAAGGCAGGTGAAATTGCTGACCTAGAAAATGTACAGAGAACCTTCACAGCATACATAACTGAGATAAAACACCTCAATTACTGGGAGCGCTTGAAGTTCCTGAACCTGTACTCCCTGGAACACAGGCGGGAGAGATACATAATTATATACACCTGGAAAATCCTAGAGGGACTAGTACCAAACTTGCACATGAAAATCACTCCCTACAAAAGCAAAAGACTCGGCAGACGATGCAACATACCCCCAAGGAAAAGCAGGGGTGCCACTAGCATGTTAAGAGACAACACAATAAGTGTCAGGGGACCAAGACTGTTCAACTGCCTCCCAGCAAACATAAGGGGGGATTACCAATAGACCCCTGGCTGTCTTCAAGCAGGCATTGGACAAGCACCTAAAGTCGGTACCTGACCAGCCAGGCTGTGGTTCATATGTTGGATTGCATGCAGCCAGCAGTAACAGCCTGGTTGATCAGGTCCTGATCCACCATGAGGCCAGGTCACACACCAGGCAGTAGGGGCATTGACCCCCAGAACTCTCTTCAGGTAAACTCCATACACCTAAGGTCAACCACAATTTGACCACCTCATACAAAACCCTGATTATTTTTGTCCCTATTATTCCATCAAAGTGACTAGCCTGTAAAAGAGATACAGATTCTTTATTAGGCCCTTTATTGGCCCTTTATCACTCTCTTATTTACCCCTATCTCACCTATGGAATTTGTGCATGGGGCTCAACAACAATTAACCATCTCAGACCACTAATTACCCAACAAAAGGCTGCAGTTAGAATGATAACAAATTCTCACTACAGGCAGCACACTCCACCAATATTCAAAACACTCAACCTACTCACCATACAAAACATCCATACTTATTAATGCACCTATTACATACATAGAACACTTAACTCTGATATTAACCCTCCCCTCAAACATCTCCTTGCCAACCTCAACAGAACACATGACCATAACACAAGGCACAGATCACTCTTTGATGTTCCTCATGTCCATCTCACGCTATGCAAAAACTCAATGCACATAAAAGGCCCTAAAATCTGGAATTCATTACCTGTAAATATAAAAGAAACACTACCTGTTTATAAATTCAAGTCTCTTCTCAAAGATCACTTACTCACTCAAAACCAAATAAATACTGAATAACTGAACCTTATAAATTGTATATCCTATATGTTACTCACAATTATATCACACAAATGTTAAACCTAGGACCCAATCTAACTTTGTTATTTTTTTAAATACACTACCTAACAGAATACTCCATTCGACTGAATGTACAGCAATGCATGCAACCATATGACCTGTCTTTGTAATACTCATTTGTGCTTTATAGTTATCTGTTTACAATAATGTTTTATCACTGATTTCATCATTGCTTAGTTAATCTTAAGTTAATTTTAAGCCAGCCCGTAATGCTATGCATATAAGTGGCTTTGGCATGCTGCTCTTACCTGTATTTTTTTGTACCTCTGTATGTATGCTAAAATTACTAAAAAATAAAAAATAAAAAAAATAGGTGAAGCAGATTTTATTTGGATGAGTAATCTAGGATAACCATTAAAAGGCACAATATCTGGCTTATTTCCATTAGAATCCATGGGGGGAGCCTGAGTGGGAGAGTACAATAAGATGACCCACTTGGGTTTAGCATTTCACAGGAATATAAGAAACTACCAAAGTCCTTTGATACTCTTCTTAAGGCAGACCCACACTGCAAGTCTCCAGGTAGATATCAACCAAATCTTTAAATGGGCTGCAGAAAACAATAAGAAGTTCAATGATGAGAAATTCCAATTACTCTGATATGGAAAACATGAGGATATTAAAATTTAATCGGAGTATAAAACAAATTCCAACCACACAATAGAGTTTACCTTACCTGGAGTTTACCTGGAGAGAGTTCCGGGGGTCAACGCCCCCGCGGCCCGGTCTGTGACCAGGCCTCCTGGTGGATCAGAGCCTGATCAACCAGGCTGTTGCTGCTGGCTGCATGCAAACCAACATACGAGCCACAGCCGGGCTGATCAGGAACTGACTAGGTGCTTGTCCAGTGCCAGCTTGAAGACTGCCAGGGGTCTGTTGGTAATCCCCCTTATGTGTGCTGGGAGGCAGTTGAACAGTCTCGGGCCCCTGACACTTACTGTATGGTCTCTTAACGTGCTAGTGACACCCCTGCTTTTCATTGGGGGGATGGTGCATCATCTGCCAAGTCTTTTGCTTTCGTAGTGAGTGATTTTCGTGTGCAAGTTCGGTACTAGTCCCTCTAGGATTTTCCAGGTGTATATAATCATGTATCTCTCCCTCCTGCGTTCCAGGGAATACAGGTTTAGGAACCTCAAGCGCTCCCAGTAATTGAGGAGCAAAAAACTAATGTCAAAAACCTGGGTGTGATCATGTCAGAGGATCTCACCTTCAAAGACCATAACATTGCATCAATTGCATCTGCTAGAAAAAATGACAGGATGGATAATGAGCAGCGGTGTCCCACGGGCAGGCGGACGCATCTCGTACAGACAATTTCCGAGCAGATGTACGAAAAACGAGGAAATTTTCGCTGAAAAAAATGGTCTAAAACTGAATTGTACAATAACGGGTTCCACTGTATGTAAAATTTAACCTATGATAATCCAGGTGTCAAAAAATATGACTTAAGGTATTTCCATGCAAGTAAATTTATTTAGGTACACATACATGTAAGTACCATTATCACACAAGTGCAAATTATCTAGGATAACCTAAAAAAAAGTCAGTGAATTATTTCCATTGAGGTCCTTTCCATTGAGGTCCAGGTAATATGTTTCTCATTAAGGCCTTCATTATGAAGGATGTGTAATACCAGAGCAAAACTGGATGTTATATTTCCTGGTATCTTGTGGCTAAGTTGGTAGCCACCTCAGCTTACACACTGAGGGACAAGAGTGGAAACACTGAGCATGTTTCCAAGCACCTACTCTTAACCTAGCAGTATGTAGGCATATAGGTGTTAGGTGACAGGTGTGGGTTGCATCCTGGGGTGGAGGATTAAAAGATAACAATGATTGTATTGGGTTATCCTAAGTAAGTAAGCAAGTAAGTTTATTCAAGTATACACAAATACAGTTACATAGAATTATCATACATAGCAGCATATGTGTAGAGAACCTGGGATAACCCAAAAAAGTCAGACAGAGTTGACTTATTTCCATTGGGGTCCTACGTTAATTTATACATAAGTTACCATACACGTCAATTGTATTATTATTACAATCAAGGGGGAAGCGCTAAACCCGGAGGATTATACAGCGCCTGGGGGGGGGGATGTGGAAGGCATTCAGGCTTAATTCGGGGAACTGGAGCACAGATCCAATTCCCTAAATCAAGAACCCCTCACCAACATCAAGGAGCCTTCCTTGAGGGGACGTCAATTGTAAAAATATTAAACTTAGTGGGAAATGAAGACTTGATTATACAATGCTTAAAAATGTCGGTGAGATTACTTACATTTCCATAATAACTTTGTGGGGTTTAGTTTTACTTATATGACAAGTCTTTGCTATTATATACCTATATTGTTTCTGTATGATCAATGTATACAAGATTAAACAATTAAAATCATTTTCGGCACAAACTAACGTAATGACATATCAGTCACAAGAAATGTGACTCATTCAAAAACCATTGTCAACCTTCACCTTGGCATACCAGTCACCATCATACACTCCATTGTCATTAATAAATATGTTAGTACGTCTCTCAACACACAGCATCATCATAATGGCCACCTTACCCTGCATTTTCTTGTCTGAATTCCCACCAAACCAGGACATGTTGCTTGAGATTGATGTGAAGTGTAGCGAGCAGCGAGATGTACCTCCCCTCACCCACACTACCGCAACACTAGCTAGCAGCTGTGGCTGTGCTGGCTGTAACACTAGCTAGCAGCTGTGGCTGTGCTATGACCTGTGGTGCTGGCTGCAACACTAGCAGCTGTGGCTGTGCTGGCTGCAACACTAGCAGCTGTGGCTGTGCTGGCTGTAACACTAGCTAGCAGCTGTGGCTGTGCTGGCTGCAACACTAGCTAGCAGCTGTGGCTGTGCTGGCTGTAACACTAGCTAGCAGCTGTGGCTGTGCTGGCTGCAACACTAGCAGCTGTGGCTGTGCTGGCTGCAACACTAGCTAGCTGTGGTGTGTGGCTGAAACACTAGCAGGCTGTGGTTGTGCTGGCTGTAACATTTAGCAGCTGTGGCTGTGTGGCCGTAACACTAGGCAGCTGTGGCTGTCTGGCTGCAACCACTACGCAGCTGTGGCTGTGCTGGCTGAACACTAGCTAGCAGCTGTGGCTGTGCTGGTTGTAAACACTAGCAGCTGTGGCTGTGCTGGCTGTAACACTGGGCAGCTGTGGCTGGGCTGGCTGCAACAACTAGCAGCTGTGGCTGTGCTGGCTGCAACACTAGCAGCTGTGGCTGTGCTGGCTGAACACTACCCAGTGTGGCTGTGCTGGTTTGTAACACACTGCAGCTGTGGCTGTGCTGGACTGTAACATAGCTAGCACCCCTGTGGCTTTTGCTGGCGTGGTGTAACACTACCCTGGCAGCTGTGGCTGTGCTGGCGGGTAAACACTAGCTAGCAGCTGTGGCGGGTGCTGGCTGTAACACTAGCAGCTGTGGCTGTGCTGGCTGAACACTAGCAGCTGTCCCTGTGCTGGCGAACACTGCAGCTGTGGCTTTCTGGCTGTAACACTAGCAGCTGTGGCTGTGCTGGCTGTAACATAGCTAGCAGTGTGGCTGTGCTGGCTGTAACCCACTAGCAGCTGTGGCTGTGCTGGCTGTAACACTAGCAGCTGTGGCTGTGCGGGCTGTAACACTACAGCTGTGGTTTGTGCTGGCTGTAAACAACTTGCTTAAGCAGCTGTGGCGTTGGGCTGTAACACTAGCTAGCAGTTGTGGCTGTGCTGGCTGAACATTTAAGCAGCTGTGGCTGTGCTGGCTGTAAACTAGCTAGCAGTTTGTGGCTGTGCTGGCTGCAACACTAGCACCCTGGGGGCTGGCTGTAACACTAGCAGCTGTGGCTGTGCTGGCTGTAACACTAGCAGCTGTGGCTGTTGTGTTGGGGGGGGGGCTGAAACACTAGCAGCTGTGGCTGTGCTGGCTGAACACTAGCAGCTGTGGCTGTGCTGGCTGTAACACTAGCAGCTGGGGGTGTTGGCTGTAACACTAGCACTGTGGCTGTGCTGGCTTAAACACTAGCAGCTGTGGCTGTGCTGGCTTTTAACACTAGCAGCTGTGGCTGTGTTGGCTGTAACACTAGCAGCTGTGGCTGTGCTGGCTGTAACACTAGCAGCTGTGGCTGTGCGGCTGAACACTAGCAGTGGGGCTGTGCTGGCTGTAACACTAGCAGCTGTGGCTGTCTGGCTGTAACACTAGCAGCTGTGGCTGTGCTGGCTGTAACCTAGCAGCTGGGGCTGGCTGCCAACACTAGCGCTGTGGCTGTGCTGGCTGAACAATAGCAGCTGTGGGGGTGTGCTGGCTGTAACACTAGCAGCTGTGCTGTGCTGGCTTAACACTAGCAGCTGTGGCTGTGCTGGCTGTAACACTAGCAGCTGTGGCTGTGCTGGCTGTAACACTAGCAGCTGTGGCTGTGCTGGCTGTAACACTAGCAGCTGTGGCTGTGCGGCTGTAACACTAGCAGCTGTGGGCTGTGCTGGCTGTTAACACTAGCAGCAGCTGTGGCTGTGCGGGTTTAAACACTAGCAGCTGTGGCTGTGCTGGCGGGAACACTAGCAGCTGGGGTGGCGGGCAAACTAGCAGCTGTGGCTTGCTGGCTGCAACACAGCAGCTGGGCTGTGCTGGCTGTAACACTAGCAGCTGTGGCGTGTGTGGCTGAAAACACTAGCAGCTGTGGCTGTGCTGGCTGAAAACACTAGCAGCTGTGGCTGTGCTGGCTGAAACACTAGCAGCTGTGGCTGTGTGGCTGAAACACTAGCAGCTGTGGCTGTGCTGCTGAACCCCAGCTAGCGCTTGTGGTTTGTGCTGGCTGTAACACTAGCTGAGCTGTGGCTGTGCTGGCTGTAACCACTAGCAGCTGTGGCTTGCTGGCTGAACACTGGGCGGGCTGTGGCTGTGCTGGCTGCAACACTAGCAGCTGTGGCTGTCTGGCTGAAAACATAGCAGCTGTGGCGGGTGCTGGCTGTAACACTAGCAGCTGTGGCTGTGCTGGCTGTAACACTAGCAGCTGTGGCTGTGCTGGCTGTAACACTAGCAGCTGTGGCTGTGCTGGCTGCAACACTAGCGCTGTTGGCTGTGCCTGTGCTTTTTTAACAACTTAGCAGCTGTGGCTGTGCTGGCTGAACACTGGGCAGCTGTGGCTGTCTGGCTGAACACTAGCAGCTGTGGCTGTGTTGGCTATAACACTAGCAGCTGTGGCTGTGGCTGGCTGTTAACACTAGCAGCTGTGGCTTGTTTGGCCGGCAACCAGTTTAATGCAGCTGTGGCTGTGCTGGCTGCAACACTAGCAGCTGTGGCTGTGCTGGCTGTAACACTAGCAGCTGTGGCTGTGTTTGGCTGAAAACACTAGCAGCTGTGGCTGTGCTGGCTGTAACACTAGCAGCTGTGGCTGTGCTGGCTGTAACACTAGCAGCTGTGGCTGTACTGGCTGTAACACTAGCAGCTGTGGCTGTGTTGGCTGTAACACTAGCAGCTGTGGCTGTGCTGGCTGTAACACTAGCAGCTGTGGCTGTGCTGGCTGTAACACTAGCAGCTGTGGCTGTCGGGGCTGTAACACAAGCAGCTGGGGGCTGTGTGGCTGAAAACACTAGCACCCGGTGGCTGTGCTGGCTGAAACACTAGCAGCTGTGGCTGTGCTGGCTGAACATAGCAGCTGTGGCTGTGCTGGCTGTAACACTAGCAGCTGTGGCTGTGCTGGCTGCAACACTAGCAGCTGTGGCTGTGCTGGCTGTAACACTAGCAGCTGTGGCTGTGCTGGCTGTAACACTAGCATGGGCTGTGCGGGCTGTCTGCGGCTTGTTAACACTAGCAGCTGTGGCTGTGCTGGCTGAACACTAGCAGCTGGGGGTCTGGCTGTAAACACTAGCGTTGTGGCTGGTGGCTGTAACACTAGCAGCTGTGGCTGTGCTGGCTGTAACACTAGCAGCTGTGGCTGTGCTGGCTGCAACACTAGCAGCTGTGGCTGTGCTGGCTGTAACACAAGCAGCTGTGGTTTGTGCTGGCTGTAACACTAGCTAGCAGCTGTGGCTGGGGCTGGCTGTACAACTACAGGCAGCTGTGGCTGTGCTGGCTGTAAACACTAGCAGCTGTGGCTGTGCTGGCTAACACTAGCAGCTGTGGCTGTGCTGGCTGAACACTAGCAGCTGGGGCTGGTGCTGGCTGAAACACTAGCAGCTGTGGTTTGTCGGCTGACAACACTAGCAGCTGTGGGCTGTGCTGGCTGTAAACACTAGCAGCTGTGGCTGTGCTGGCTTAACCAAAGCGCTGTGGCTGTCTGGCTGTAACACTAGCGGGCTGTGGTTTTGGGGTTGCTGTACACAGCAGCTGTGGCTGTGCTGGCTGCAACACTAGCAGCTGTGGCTGTGCTGGCTGTAACACTAGCAGCTGTGGCTGTGCTGGCTGTAACACTAGCAGCTGTGGCTTTGCTGGCTTTTAACACTAGCTAGCAGCTGTGGCTGTGTGGCTGTAACACGCTAGCAGCTGTGGCTGTGCTGGCTTAACATAGCAGCTGTGGCTGTGCTGGCTGAAACATAGCAGCTGTGGCTTGCTGGCTGAAAAATAGCAGCTGTGGCTGTCCTGGCTGCAACACTAGCAGCTGTGGCTGTGCTGGCTGTAACACTAACTAGCAGCTGTGGCTGTGCTGGCTGTAACACTAGCAGCTGTGGCTGTGCTGGCTGTAACACTAGCAGCTGTGCTGGCTGCAACACTAGCAGCTGTGGCTGTGCTGGCTGCAACACTAGCAGCTGCGGCTGTGCTGGCTGTAACACTAGCAGTGTGGCTGTGCTGGTTTGTAAACTAGCAGCTGTGGCTGTGCTGGCTGTAACACTAGCAGCTGTGGCTGTGCTGGCTGTAACACTAGCAGCTGTGGCTGTGCTGGCTGTAACACTAGCAGCTGTGGCTGTGCTGGCTGTAACACTAGCTAGCAGCTGTGGCTGTGCTGGCTGTAACACTAGCTAGCAGCTGTGGCTGTGCTGGCAATAACACTAGCAGCTGTGGCTGTGCTGGCTGCAACACTAGCAGCTGTGGCTCTGCTGGCTGCAACAATAGCAGCTGTGGCTGTCCTGGCTGCAACACTAGCAGCTGTGGCTGTGCTGGCTGTAACACTAGCAGCTGTGGCTGTGCTGGCTATAACACTAGCAGCTGTGGCTGTGCTGGCTGTAACACTAGCAGCTGTGGCTGTGCTGGCTGTAACACTAGCAGCTGTGGCTGTGCTGGCTGCAACACTAGCAGCTGTGGCTGTGCTGGCTGTAACACTAGCAGCTGTGGCTGTGCTGGCTGAAACACTAGCAGCTGTGGCTGTGCTGGCTGTAACACTAGCTAGCAGCTGTGGCTGTGCTGGCTGTAACACTAGCTAGCAGCTGTGGCTGTGCTGGCAATAACACTAGCAGCTGTGGCTGTGCTGGCTGCAACACTAGCAGCTGTGGCTCTGCTGGCTGCAACAATAGCAGCTGTGGCTGTCCTGGCTGCAACCCTAGCAGCTGTGGCTGTGCTGGCTGTAACACTAGCAGCTGGGGGCGTGCTGGCTGTAACACTAGCAGCTGTGGCTGTGCTGGCTGTAACACTAGCAGCTGTGGCTGTGCTGGCTGTAACACTAGCAGCTGTGGCTGTGCTGGCTGCAACACTAGCAGCTGTGGCTGTGCTGGCTGCAACCCTAGCTAGCAGCTGTGGCTGTGCTGGCTGTAACACTAGCAGCTGTGGCTGTGCTGGCTGTAACA